CTCGCGGCCACCAAGCAGCCCTCGCTGCAAGCCCAGCTTAGGAAGAACGGATAAAAGCAGCAACCTCCAGAGCAGCGTGCCGGCTGGAAGCTGCTCCGGGAGCCGCGTGCTCTGCTCCCTCCAGCACGGACCCCCTCTCCCCCCCATCCCAAACCGAAAGCGTAGCCCCACCCGCCCCCCACGTGCAGCAACGCGGCCAAACGAGCGCGGCGCCTTTAAGAGCTCCGTGGCGCCAATTCCGCCCCACGTGACCTGCTAGGGGGCGGTGCCGCAGTTCGCGCGAGTTCCCGCCAAACGCGGCGGGACCCCGCGCAGGGAATGGCGCAGCTCCGCCTCACCGATTTCTTCGGCCGCACCAAAGCCGCCAGCAGCCTCACCGCCAAGCACGGCGCCCGCGGTCTCAAGGCCGCCCTCCTCGCTCCCCCGGGGCCGCGGAACGATGGTGCCCGCGCTCCCGCGTCGCCGCGCACCCCGACCCGCAGCGCTGCCCCGGCGGTGCCGCGGATGGCGGGCAGGAAACGGAGCCGCCGGGAGATGGAAGCGGAGACGCCGGGCGGGGAGCGGGGCGGGAAGTCGGCGCGGAAGCGGCTGGAGCTGCCGCGGGATGCGGGGCCGGAGGTGGGCGCTGGGGGGGCGGACGTGAAAGCGGGGCGCGGTCCAGTGTGCGGTGTTTGATTTGGGGGCGATCCTTGGCGTTTGAGTGGAAGGGTCCCTGGTGTTTGAATGGGGGGGGTCGGTCCCACTGCTCGCTTTGGGTTCGCGGCATCGGGTCCCGCTGCTTGGATGGCGGAAGCTGACCCGGGAATGCCCGCACGCCTAGGAGCAGCCCCAGCTTTCACACCCTAATCCCATCTCCTGCTGATCCACAGCCTGCCAGCCCCCCTTCGCTGGGTCCACTGGAGCCCCCCGTAGCCAGCAGGATGCGCGCCCCCAGCCCGGAGCGGGACAGCAGGAGCACAGCGTGCCTGGAGCAGGTATGGGAGCATGGCTTAGTGCCACGTCGGGGTCTCCACTTGATCTCTTTGTGCCTTCATCCTTTATTAACTGTCCCTGACCCCACAGGAGGAACTGGCCACGCTGCAGAGCCGTCTCCAGAGGATGAGGATGAAGCCCCCCACCCAACTGCCCCCCATCCCTGCTGGGGTCGGCGCTGAGCTGCGGAGCCGCCTGCAGAGCCTGCGGGGCCTGGAGCTGCGGCTCCGTGCCAAGGCAGCAGGCAGTGGGACGGGGCAGCCTGGGGTCACCGGAACAGAGGCTCCGGTAGCAGCAGAGAATAGGTGAGAAACAGCTCCGAGGAGGAAAGTGGGGCATGGAGGGGTTGCTGCCACAGGGGAAATGGCCACGGTGCTGCTCTGCCCATGCGATGTTGAATTTCTGCTGAGAGTGGCAGCAGGGTCCCACAGATCAGCCCTGCCCTGGGCAAAGCCCTGAGCCCGGAGGGTTTGCCATTCCCAGAGCGCTGTGAGCCGGGACCAGTGTGGGATGCTGGGATGGGAGGGAGCACATGGGTCCTGCCCCAGCCCGGGGTGCGTGCTGCTCCCATCTCAGTGACCCCTCTCCATCCCCAGCAGCGCACGGCTCCCCGCATACCAGCGCTTCCATGCCCTGGCACAGGACACGCCACCAGGGCTGACGCTGCCCTACAAGTACAAAGTGCTGGCAGAGATGTTCCGCAGCGTGGACACCATTGCTGGGATGCTCTTCAACCGTGCTGAGACCATCACCTTCGCCAAAGTCAAGCAGGGCGTGCAGGACATGATGCGCAAGTGAGTCTGCAGCAGTGCTGGCGTGCAGCTGGGGCTGCTTGCCTGTGTCGGCCCTTGGGATTCCCCACCTCTCTGGTGCTGTTGCAGGCAGTTTGAGGAGCGGCACGTGGGGCAGATCAAGGCAGTGTATCCCAGCTCGTACCGCTTCCGCCAGGAGAAGAACATCCCCACTTACAGCAGCGGCGTGAAGAAGTCGGAGTACCAGCTGACACTGGAGCCGGTGCTGGGGGAAGGTACGCAGGGCTGGGACCTGCTGGGTCTGAAACAGCCTGGGCGTGGGTCAGCCCTGCAGCTCTGCTGCTGTACCCTGAGGTCTTTGCTGTGACGCCGCAGTCATGTTCTCCTCTCTCCCTGCAGATGAGCAGCTGTGTGGTCGCCCTCACCTGTCAGCATCACACCTGCTGGAGCGCAGGAAGGAGTTCCACCGCAGCCTGGTGAACATCGTCAAGCAGCACCACGCGGTGAGCCCCAGCCCTCTGCCAGGGAGCCAGGCTGTTCTCGCTCCCTGAAGGAGTGGGTGGGAGGACAGTAATGCAGCATGGAGAGCAAGGAATGCGTGGCTGCTGGGATTTCTCCCGGTTCTGGCTTTCCCCAAGCCGGCTGCCACATTCTCACCCTGCTGCAGGCATTCCTGGCTGCGCTGAGCCCTCCCATGGAGGTGCCGGAGGACAAGCTGACCCGCTGGCATCCCCGCTTCAATGTGGATGAGGTGCCTGACATCAGCCCAGCAGAGCTGCCACGGCCACCACAGGAGGACAGGATCAGCACGGCACAGGAGGTGCTGAGTGCAGCTCGGGGCACAATGAGCACTAAGGTGAGCAGGGAGCACCCAGCCACCGCCCCACAGCAGCCATCCCGCTTTGTATGGGGAGGGGTGGGGAAGGGCTGCTCCTGTGTGGGCCAACTCGGTGCTGTAAGATGGGAGCACGCACTGAACATCGGTGTGCACGAGGCTGGGGGAGCTGCCCATGGGGCCGGAGGTGAGGTCGTGCCCCACGCAGATGGGTCTGATGCACGTGTGGGGAGCGCTGGGCTGCTGCAGGGTGGCCCTGGTGGGGGTGGGGGGCAGCAGAGGGGAAACTTCTCCTTCCTCCCAGCTGTAACCCAACTCCTCCTCCGTCCACATGAGCAGATGGAAAAAGCTCTTGCCAACCTGGCCTTAAGAAGCGCTGAAGCCGGTGCGGAGGAACCGGCGCTTTCCAAAGCAGCATCCCCTGCCAGCACCTCCAGCGCTCTCAAAGGGGTGTCCCAGGAGCTGCTGGAGCGGGTGAGTAATTCCATCCTGGCCACGGCCCCGGGGAGGGGGCCCACCTGTGCCTGAGCCCCTTTTCTTGCTCCCCAGATCCGTGCTAAGGAGGCCCGGCGGCTGCAGGCACTGATGACACGGGCGGCGGGGCAGGAGGAGCGGCTGGCCATGCTGGGCCGACTGCCGGCCATGGCCCGCATCCTGCGTGGGGTCTTTGTGGCCGAGAAGAAGCCGGCGCTGCCCATGGAGCTGGCGTGTGTCCGTCTGGCTGACAGCTTCCCCACCCAGATGGCAGCAGGTAGGGGGGTGGTTGGGGCTGCGGGCGGCACGGCGCTGAGCTTTGCCGGGCTGGGAGCTGAGCTGTTGTCTGCATCCATCCCTGCAGGTGAGATGGAGAAGCACCTGCGGCTCCTGGCTGAGCTGCTGCCCGACTGGGTGACGATCCACGCCCTGCGCACCGACACCTACATCAAGCTGGACAAGAACGTGGACCTCAGCCTCGTCACCGAGAGGCTGGAGAAGGCAGCCAAGGAGGCAGAAGCCCTCTGAGCCCTGCTGGAGTCCGGGCTTCCCCCGTGCAGTTCTCTATTCTTCAAGCATAGTGAGCTTTGGCCGTGCTCCGCGAGCAAAGCGGGTGTTGATGGAGTTAGTTCTTCTGTTGGGTCCCTGCAGATTGCAGCTGCCTCTAAGGCTGAAAGCAGTCTGGGGTCGTGGGTGAGATCTGGAGCTTCCAGCCTCCTTTGTGCCATGCCCTGGATGGGCACAGGGGCTTCTTCTGTTCGCTGGGGGCAAGGAGGAAGGAGGGAGAGAAGTTACAAGGTGCCGGTTTTGGTGTTTGGGTCTGGTTGTGTTTTTAAGGGAGGGAAGCACATCTCCAGCACTCGCTGGAAACGACGACAGGACTTGTCAAAACACATTTATATTAAATGTTTTAAATAGAGCTGAGTCGCGTTGTGAACCCAGCGCTTTTCCTCCCGCTGTCTGTGCTGCTCCATGGCAAAGGGCCCCGGCCGCTCACGCAGGGAAGGGCTGGGGCACAGTCCAAGTGCAGAAAGCCTCGTTGGAAAAAGTGAGCGTGGGCTCAGCAGAGCTGAATGCAGCTCTTGTCAGCGGGGCCGGCGTGGCTCTGGCACGGGGCAGAGGGGTGAGCGTGGGGAGGGGCTGCCCAACGTGGGGCCGCTCAGCTGGCTTGGGTGAATCCTGCCTTCTGATGGAAGGGGGGGCACTGAGGTGCTGCGTGCAGGGCTGAGCTGGAGGGAACTTCCAATTTGAAGGCAGCGTGAGCCCAGCAGGGCTTGGACCCAGCACACAGGACATCTTGCTCCCCCAGGCTGAGCACAGCAGATGCGTGCCTCCCCAGGGAGCTCACCCAGCTCCCATTCACTGCTCACTCACACACACACACACACATATACATGCTTCCTCCTGCCTGGAAGTAGCAGCTCCGAAGTGCCGCTGTGAGTCATGGCATCAAGCGAAAGCACCGTCCCCAGGTTCCCTGATGTCACCCCTTGGCTGCACGCACAGCCAGCCCTGGCAGCAGCGAGGCCAGCGCTCGCCTCCGCACAGCGCAGCTGCTTTCCACAGCTCCGTGGGGTGGAACTCATTTTTCCCCTTCTCTACATCACAGCGGGGGCCTGCGAGCAGCGCCAAGTGTGTGTGTGCTCACCCCTGGGGATCCCAGCACCCAGGGGAAGCTTCCCTGTGCAGTGGCTTTTTAGGGAATGGTGATAGAAGTGGGCACAACGAGGGCTGTGAGCAGGGCAGGCCATCCCTGTGCTCTGTGGTGGGAAGGTGCTCCTCCAGCACTGAGATTCACGCTGCCCACGTGCTCCCCTCCGACCTGTGGGATGGAGATACCTGGACGTGGTTGCTGCTGCCTCCTGGAAGGTTTTGGGGTGGCAATGGGGGGCTCAGGCTACAGCCCCCAGCGCTGCCACGAGGGTCATAAACAGCTCCTGCTGCTGCAAGAAGAGCGCTGAGACAGGTTAGAAAAAATAGAAAAATAAATCCATGTTTATTGTACCAGCGAGTTCAGCCCCTGCTAAGATAGGGAGGTGGGATAACCCAGGGCTGGCCTGAACCCTGCTCAGACCAGGAGGCACAGCAGCACTGCGCCCATCTGAGCTCCTCAGGACCCGCTTGGAGCTCTCCTTCAGGCAGAGGGACCTGTGGCCCTGCGGAGCACCCTGCCCTGCTTTGGTAGCCTAGAACGCAACACCTGTCAACTGGCATCGTGGTCTCCTCCTCCCCAAAGAGGTGAACTCAAAACCAAAATATCCGTGCGCTAAGCATGCTTTGATCTGTGCCTTGGCAGCACTGCAGCTTCCACAGCTTCTTGTGCAGGAGTCAGTGCAGCAGGTCCCCCTGCCCACCCCATCGTGACACCAAGCCAGAGTCACCGCCTGCAACCCCAGAGGTGCTGCAGCAGCCAGCAGCCTCAGTCGTACTGCAGCAGGGAGTGGAAGGGAACGGTCTCCAGCTTGGCTGCTCCCCCCAGGGCCTTCAGCTCAATGACCACCAGGCACTCCAGGATGTCAGCCTTCAGCCTCGCCAGCAGCTCGCAGGCTGCACGCATCGTACCTGCACGCAGAGAGAGCTTCAGCACAGAGATCCCTGCTCGAGGAGCAGCAGCAAGCAAAGCACGCAGCAGGGAACTCCATGACAGCATGAGGTGTAGCTGCTGCAGCCACTGACACACAACAACCATTGCTGCTGCCACCTCGCACACTGCAGGATGTTACATGGTGGTGGTTTCCACACACGATGTTCTCAAGGTTCCCCCGTGGAGGAAACCAGGGTGACCCCCTGTCCCCCCCCAGCACCCGCTTCTCTCACCTCCAGTTGCAAGCAAGTCATCCACCACGACCACTTTTTGTCCTGCTTCCACAGCATCGCTCTGGATTTCGAGTTCAGCCTGCAGAGTGGAAAGAGCATCTTCACTGCAGCCCTGCCTTGCAGAGGAAGGCTTCCTAACCTGCTAACCCTCAGAGCCCAAGCACAGCCTGCTGACCCCTTCCCCCACTGGGCATCACCTTGCCGTACTCCAGGGCGTATGAGATGGACTCGGTGGGGCCGGGGAGTTTCCCTTTCTTTCGGATCAGCACGAAGCCAACTCCCAGTCTCTGAGCCAGGGGGGGGCCGATGAGGAAGCCACGGGAGTCCAGACCTGAGGGGGCAAGCAGCAAGAGCACCCAGAAAAGCCATTTGGGATCGACACCCCGTGTTCATCCTCCCAAGTGCCAGAGCAACGTGCCCTTACGGCGATCCCCAAGGGTTAAATGCATACCTGTGCCCACCCCAACACGTCAGTGCAGCGTCCCACAGCCCATCAGTGACCTCCACCCCCCAGCAGAAACCCCTCTGGCTTTCCCCTCAAGCTCTCCTTCACAGAGCTGAGCTCAGCTGAGCCCCAGTTATCATTGTGGCCATGCAGCCAAGGACTTTGCACAGCAGGTTATCAGCAGGCACTTGGAGATTTTGTCCAGACTGAGCTCAGGCCTATCACCCAGCCCCAGCAGTTCCCTTCCCAGCGCTTTCATTCTCAGCCTCTTTAATGCTGAAACGCATTATCACTGCTATGGCTGTTTCAGTTGGCTTGAAAAAAGCTGCATGGGAAGACAAACATGCTGGAACAGGGGCTCCCTGCCATGGGGCTGCCCAGGCACAGCACACCAGGCTGCAGTGCTCACCAAAAGCCTCTTTTTTAACAATGGAATTACAAAATTGGCACTGGTTGGCATCCGCCCCATCCCAAACCAGTATTTCAGGAAAGGACAGTTCTGGGTTAAGGGCAACACCATGCTGCTGTTACTGTACAATGCAGGCCAGCAGACAATGTCCAAGGGCTATGGTATTTCCTGTCCCATCAGCAAGGTGTCTGCCCACACTGAGCACCTGGGAGCACACAGCGCCCTGCAGCAGCCTCAGAGCTGAACACCCACCTGCAATGACATCGATTTTGGGGAAGGAGGCCCTCAGGTGATCTTCCAGAAGATCAATCAAAGCCTTGAAAGCTACAGGATCCTTCAACAGGGGGCTGATGTCGCTGCAAACAGAGGGAGAGCAGTTAGCAAGCAACCAAGGGATGCAGGTGATGCTGCTACTACACCCAGGGGGCACAGCCAGAGGAGCCCCTGCTCCATCTCCATCTCCGCTCCATCTCCATCCCTAGCTCCCTGCCCCATCCCCAAATCCATCTGCATTCCTCAGCCCTATTCCCATCCCCTGCTTCATTCCCAGCTCCTTGGCTCCATCCCTACCCCCATACCCTATCCCCTGCTCCATCTCCAGCCCAGTCCCCCGCCTCATTCCCATCCTCTGCCCCTTGGTTCCATTCTCATCCTCATTCCCCATCCCCTGCTCCATCCCCAGCTCCATCTCCACTCCCCCAGCCCCATTCCCATCCACTGCTCCATCCCCCATCCCCCGCCCAACCGCAGCTCCCTGCCCCGTCCCCAGTCTCCCTCCTCCACCCCCATCTCCACCCTTAATTCCCCCGCCCCATTCCCACCCCCTCCTTCATTCCCAGTTCCTCAGCTCCATCCCCACTCCCATCCCCATCCCCACCCCCAGCTCCTCGGCTCCATCCTCGGCCCCATCTCCCCCGTTCCAAACCCGCACCGAAACAGCACTCCAGGCACGGGGAAGTCGGGGAAGGACCGCACGCGGTCCCGCACCGCCCGCAGCCGCTCCCGGCTCATGGCGCTCCGCGCACCGACTGCGCAACCGCGGCCGGACGGCACCCGGCGGGCGGAGCTTCCGCGGCGCTGCGCGGCTGCGCCGAGCTCCGCTGCTGCTGTGTGCGGAGCCCGGAGCTCCGGAGCCCCGTCCCCAGCCCTGGGCGCGAAGCTTTCGGTTCACGGAGCTCCAGCACCGCAAGGCGCGATGCCCCGGCCGCTCGCTGCGCTGCTCTGGTTGCGCTCCCTGCAGCGCGCGGAGCTCCGCTTGGAAGAGAGGCGCCGTGCGCAGGGGAACGTTTCCACCCCTTTCACCCCTCCCAGTGCCTCGCACAGATAACGTGCTCGTAAGGACTACGTGATTTCCTGCTTTCCTGTCTCTCATCGACTCCTGTGCAGCTGTGCAATCGTACCTTGCGTTTGTTAAGAGCCGTTTGGGTTACGATCAGAGCAGATGGACGCAGCAGAGCGCCCTGGGTCCTGGGCCAGCTGAGCACCAGCGGCCTGATCTGCTGGTTGGTGACCCTGCACGTAGCAGGGGGTTGAAACCCAGGCCATTCTGCGGTTCTGGTTGGCGAGGCAGTCATGGTGCTCCTGCACAGCCCTCAGTTCCACCTCCTGCAGTGGGAATTGCCATTTGCCCATGCAAAATCCATCGCGGGCAGGAGATGCGCTGCCGAATGATTGCAGATCTCCTTTTCCATTAGCAGATCTGACCTGGATCTGCACCAAATGCACCCAGGTACAGCTGCCCACTGAAAGCAAAGACAGCTCTAGCATGCAAAACCCCAGCTGAGTGTGGTGCCTGCCACTGACAGGGACTGCAGCAGCCTGGCTGCGGACACAGAGCTGCCCCTGCACCTCCCAGCTGTCACATGGGGCTCTTGCACAGTGAGGGTTCTGCCCGCATCGCCCCCACGCTGTTGCATTTCCAGCTCTCGATGCACAGCCTCTAGGAGACTGCAGGCTGAATCCTCCACTGCTCCACCTCCCTCCTTCTCCATCCATAGGGTCTCTTTGGCCCTCTGGTTGAAGGCACCTGTGTGCTGGATGGCTGGGGCGAGCTGAAGGTCAGCTCAGAGGTTGCTCCATTCCTCGCCAGGCTTTTTTGCCAGGGCAGCCCACACAGGAGCTCAGCGTGCCTCCTTCCACAACCGTTCCCTCGCAGAGTAACATTTTCCCTGAAGTCAGATTATCTCCTTGGCACCAGAAAAATCCTAACAGCTGTTCCAGCGAAGCAAACACAGCTGTGGCAAGAGGCCACGCGCTGGAACAGGCGCCGCGCTGCACCCGTGCTCCCGCAGAACAACTGGAAGGGTTTTGCTCTTTTGTCATCCCACCAACGACAATCCCAGATGTCAGCCGTTCCGGCAGCTCCTCTCTTCTTCCTGCTGGATGGAAGCGATGGAATTGCTCTGCCTAGCCATGGAAATAAGCAGGCGATGGGAAGGGACCCTGCCGCCCCCCTGCCCGCGGTGCCATGGCCAGGCAGCCCTGCCCTGTGCCAGCCCACCACACGCTGCAGGTTCCACCTCACCTGGTTTTGCAGTGACAGCCCATAGGACAGCAGTGTTTTCCAGCAGCTACACGAGGTTCCCAGGCCTTGCACCGATGCTACGGAAGGTTACACCAAGCCTCCAGCTGCCAGAAATGACGCAACGTGCCAGCTCGGGTTTAAGAACATTTCTCCAGGCTTTTTGTCAGCACTGCACCTCGTTAATCAATCCCTCATTTCGGAGGGCTGCACTGACCGATTTTAACATCCAGAAGTAAACGAGTTTCCCTGTAATTGTTCAACTTTTCAAACAACAGGGCTGACTCCTACCGCAGTTTCCATCCGAAAAGAACTTTCCTAGGACCAATTTCCAACGGTGATGTCAAAGGGCTTCAGCTCTGGAATATCGCATCATGGGGAGCTGTCGGATCGGGGAGGGCTGCAGCCCCACATCTGCCTCCCTGGATGGCACCGCAGGAGGGGGAGAACACCTTTGCCCCTCTTTCCCAAGCGTGGATGAGCGCTTTAAGATCCCGATGTGAGAGATGTTGTTAGAACACAGCAACTGTTTGGATGGAGGCTTCGGAGCTGACTCTAATCAGCTTCACGGGGCAATTAGAAGAGCTGCGCTGAGCGTGGAAGTTTCTGTTCCGTTCAGGATGTTAAAACTTCAGCGTGAAGTGGAACAAAATGCCCCAAATTTCAACATACCCCACAAGGGGAAACGAGAACTCAAATTTCCATCCAAATCCTCCGGAACGCTTCGTTTCAATTTCAGCTTTGGAAACGCAGGCACTTTAAAGCAGTTTTAAATAATGATAATATATATAAAAAACAACAACCAAAAAAAAAAAAAAAACCAAACCCAAAAAAACAACCCCACAAATGTGCAATATCTTATTTCAACAGCGGAGGAATGCAGCTCCCCAGCCAGCTCCCCAGGCTCTGGATTGGTGCTGTGAGCAGCGAACTCGCTGTGTCCCCTCTAATGGGGGTAAGGGGCCGCGCTCTGCGCTGGCTGCTGAGCTTCCTGCTCACAGCTGACTCCAGCTCAGGCCCTTGGAGGGGACACAGAGCTCCTTCCTTCCCCCTGCCAAAGCAGGAGGGGGATTTGGAGCCAGAGCTCATGCATTTGGCACGCCTTCCTTGCTGCTGGCAAAGCGGCCGATGGGCTTTTCTGCCCCTCTTCCTTCTGGGGGGGGATCGCACCGCCAGCCTCTGTATCCTCACACCCAGTAGGGTGTGAAGTGGCCCTGGGAGAGAAAAAGGCAGAGAACTGTGTGCCAGCTGCCAGGCTGGTTCCCAGTAAGTTGGATGGCAGAGGTTTCTGCTCTTCTAAGAGACCACAGGCTTTTGGCTCGGGCTGAACCTTTATTTAGCGTTTATATAATTCAGACTGGACTTCGAGCAACAGCAAAACTCCAAGTGGAGGCACAGGATATAAAGAAAACCAAGACATGGGGTCTGTTTTGTGTCTAAAGGAGATGTTTTCCAACAAAAAGAAGGAACCTCAGATGAGATTTCAGTTCTTCCCTCACAGCCGCACTTAAAAGCTATGAGTTTGATTGGAGAGACACCGCTGCGCTGCTCTCTGATAGCAAATGGAAAGCATCAAACAGAACCAGAAAACAACAGCAGCAGCGCATTCCCAAGTGTTAAAACTGCTCAGAAAAGTGGAAAAGGAGCCATTTGAACTGCAAAACAGTTACTTGGCTATGGAACAAGCAGTCAATCACTCAGCGCATGCAGCCTACAGGCTCCCCAGGCTGAGGACGGCCGCAGGATCCCTGCTCAGCCAGCTGTCTGAGTGCTCTTTGGGGTTTCCAACACTGGTTTCCAACCCCAAATCCCCACCTGAACCCACGCTCACCTTTGAAAGGTCTTTCTTCTGCAATGACTTCATGCTGTGCCTGCAAAGATCTCCTTGGTGCAAGTCTTCTCAGGCCTTCAGATGTTCATCTCGGCTGCTTTGCTTTCTTGCAGAACCACACAGGTGCCCCCAGTTCAACATCTCCCTTCTCAGCAGGGTCAGCTCCAGTGCCTTGAGTAAAAGCACACTGTCACCCTCAGTGCTGGCATGAAAGCTCAGTCCCAAACAGCACAGAACAGCAAATCCGTGCTCTGTCTCTCGTGTTCTGCTCCAAACTTTCCCATTTTTGCTCCTAACACGGCGCTCCTCTGCTTGGCAGTTGAAACACGGAGGCACGTTATCTGCCATCACTGCACTCCGCTCTGTTTGCAGGGCATTAACCTTGGCTCTAAGTGTTTGGAATTGATCTTCTGCATTCCAATCCCAGCGTTCTCCTCCCCAAATTGTTGGTCCACGGAGACTTAATTTGCCACCGAAACAATCCATTTGTCACTGCAGGCTTTTAAAGCCAGGCTCCATTTTTGTAGCTGCGGACTGTAAATGCAGCAGGACTTTATTACTGACATCCATCTCAGAAGCTTCTCTGCACGGAGGGTGGGATGATAACAGAGCCTCTGGGGCAGAGGAGGGCGACTCAAGAGGCTCAGCTAATTGGAAATTAAAGGCAGGAATTCCTCGGACTCTCAGCCCAAGCAGATGTGAAGCTTTCAGCATTTAGGAGACGTATTTAAACGTATTTAAAGACAGGAACGTGGCACAGCAGCAGCCTTAGAATGACACCAGCTCTCCTTCAGCTCGCGGCCTGAGGAAGGAAGCCACCAGGGGAGCAGCCCTGCTGCAGGCCACTAAATCCCACCAGGAAAGGGGCCTGGCTCTCAGCTATGGCACACGCAGCCCCTGCAAAGCCAGGAGCCCCACAGCAGGCAGCCATCACGTGGATCAGAGCTCGGGGTAACGATGAGGGGCACAAGGGCTGCCTGCAGGCTGCAGGCTGGCGGGGTTGGTGCCACGGCTGTGCGCTCAGCTCACTCCCACCCCTGCCTCCAAAGTGCGCCGGGCAGCTGTGTGGGTTGGGTAATTGATCCGTGTTAAAAATAATGCAAGGAAAACAAAACAAGTTATTTTTAAGCTCGGCCAGCTCCCGTGATCCAGGAGGCAGAGCTGTGAGAACCGAGGTGCCAGCTGTCCACAGGTGTGTGCAGACAAACCCTCCGACTCCTCACTGATAAATCCGTTTGCTTCTTTTCCTTGGCTCCTCATTTCACTTCAATATTAAAATCAGTACATCTTTGGGAAAGGCATTGATTTAAAGTGCTGCCCAGCTGTCCAGCTGTAGAACGACTGTTCTTATTTAAAGCAGTCGCTTCTTTCTACGAAGCTTGATCTTTCCTAGCTACCAAACGCAAAGCAATTAAGTAAACAAACTTCAAGTCATTTCCAGCAGCCAGCTTCGTAGTGCAAAGTTTACATCCAGTGTCTATGCACCGAGGGACTATTTCAGTAAAGGATGGAGACTTTGTGTGCTGAGTAACCAAACACTGAGCGCGGGCTGCCGTGCCCAAGCAAGTAACGCAGAGGAGGAAAAAAGCAGTGTCTTCAAAACTGCAAGCTGCAAGAGAGACAAGAATGAAGCAGCAGGCAGGGCGCGTGGCTCCCAGCACGTGGCACGCTTACCATGTGCACGGTGCAAAGGCTGAGAGCTGGGCAGGGTGTCTGGGGGAGCACCCAGCAGAGCTGCAGCCCTGGGATCTGCTCACAGGCAGCGCGCAGAGATGAAGCTGTTGCAGTTTGCAGCAGACGCTCACAGCTGTTGGAGAGCTGACAGCGGCGTGCAGGCGGCCGTGGTGCCGGACTCCCTCGTCTGGTGGTATCTTTATTTGTGGTAAGAATGGAGCCTTGGGCTGGGAACGCCTCTGGCTCTTGGTAAGGGCAGGTAGGGGCTGGGATGGCACACAGCCTGCGGGCAGGGAGGTGCTGAGGGTCTGCTGTTGGCTGGAGCACTGTGCTCATGACAACCTTAGAGGATTATCCAGCTTCAGGAGATGGGTGCTAGGAATTACTGTGGAGATGAAACATGGGAATTGGGGGGATGAGAGCGTTTGGGATTATGGGGTGGGCAAGGAGAACAAGTTGAGAGGTCTGCAGGAGGCAGAGCGGTTAACACAGAAGCTGTCAGCATGTCTCAAGCCAGCTTCAGCTTTGCCTGGGAAGGAAGCAGCCCTACGGAGTACCTTGATCCTTCTCAGGGCAGCAAAATGCCTTGTGGAGAGGGCACGTGTCCTGCAGCAAACAGGGGAGGGGTGGAAGCAGACCCGTCAGTGTGCAGACAGCAAGCTTACATTGCTTCCAACTATTCCCTTACAGCTCCACAACAACCCTGCTAGGTTCTGCTCGAGAGACGTTTATTAGCAACAGTGAGGGGGGTGAGAAACAGACCCGAAACGGGGTGAGCAATTTACAGTGTGAAATTATGCGAAGAATCTGCATTTACCATGAACTCTGTTTAGAGAAGTGCTGCACCCAGGCTGGGGGAGAGTTTGCACAAGGAGAATTCCTCGGAGAGCATACGCTGGAAACAGGGTCAAGAGTTAACGTGTGATGCAAACGGGCATTTCTGAGCCTGCAGTTGGCTGGGCCCAGGTCACGAGACTGAAAGAGTGACTTACACCATATTTGGATCGAGATTTTTGGAAATGAAGAGGATCCCACACGTGAAACACAGAGCCCCAGCTCCCCGGAATGCTCTGCACACCACCAATGAGGCGATACTTACAGGAACCCTACCTGCAAATTTCTTCACAGTGTGACCTGCTGAGCGTTTTGCAGCCACAGAAAGAAAACACGCAGGGCATCCTGCCTGTGCTGACCCCTAGCTGAGAAGAGAATGCAGCTCTTGTTTGCACTCAGGCATGCACAGCAGCAGCGTGGGCCGTACGGCTGCACCCAGTGCTTGCAAGCTTAGGAAGAACAGGCAAAAACAAGCCGGTGTCCAAAGAGTTCACAATGGAAATGGAATGTTAGAACAACAAGTTATATGCAAAGAAAACAAGGGCAGCTTGGGCAGGGCTGTAGGTTTCCTGAGCAGTCTCCTATGGCTGCTGCTGGGGCATCCACACGATGCAGTGACTCCGGAGGTCAGCTGGAAGAAGGCAGAGGAAAGGTGCAGCCGTGGTGCTTCTGAGCTCACGGCAGAGCTGGGGTTGTCCAAAGATCTTTCACAGTTAAAACAGTCCTCACTGAAAATTTACCATTTATGGAAACGATGAAACCAACAGATGAGGACAGGCTAAACCCTGAGCACCAGCAATATAAACACCGTCCCTTTTGGAAGAGCAAATGATGATATCACACAGACATCACACCCTTCCTGGGTAAACAGGAGTGCCAACGCGAGGAGAGATGCATTGTAAACTCTGCGTCCAGGCGGTTGGAGGGCTTTTGGGGCAGCTCCTGAAGGCTGCAGGAAAGATCAGTGAGGCCAAAAGCACTTCTTTGGATCAGACTTGGGTGGTTTCAGGCACTTCCCTAGCTTCTCACAGCCTGGGGGAGACCAATTCTGTTAAAAAACAAACAAAATGCACAGAAAAGAAATGAAGTTAGATGTTCACGCAAAGTATCTGCTGAGCCTTGCATCCTAATGGACCCCTTCTGAAAAACAGAACTCTTGCAGCTGGGATCATCCATCTTCCAAGCTCAAATCCTATTCAAAAAGGCTTTAGGGAAGACTACAGATCCTTATGCATCAGATGATTCCCTCTGTTGGAATATGGTGGTCTCTCCTGCAACCTGGTGGGACTCGTAGTGACTTCTTCCCTTCCCTGCAGCAGTTTGGAGCGCACAGATCACAAGCTGTTGGTGAATTCCCAGTTCTCCTACGATCCAGAAAGGAGCTCATACCCCCAGCACTACAATTCCCATGTGCTTTATTAAGGAAGCAAGTAAAAAGCACCCGTGTTTGAAGGCTGAGGGTGTGAGAGAGAAAAATGTCTGTGTTTTAAACAAGCATTCTGATGGACAAATTCATGAACAGTGGACTGGGAGGCATTTATGAGCCAACTACACCAATGCATGCAGAGCAAAACTGTTCTCCTCCCTTGTTTTCATGCTTCTTGAACTACTTTTCTCCAGCATGCACACAACAGAGAAGCAGCATCAGAAAGGAATCCCACTGCAAACCTCAGCTTCCAAAGGGATTAACAGAGGAAGGAGTTTGGATGACAGAGTTCTTTCAATTTTAGGGGTTTTTTTTGTATGTGTCATTTAACATTTGGGTCTGTGCCAACGTGAATGGCAGATCTCTGCCCTCACAAATCTTGTGTGTTCTTTCCCTGACTCTCCAAGTCCACCCATGGGAGATCCTCGCTGTCGCCCGTTAACGCTCAGCTCAGCTCTGACCTACTGCCTTTTGTGTCATTAAGTTTTTCAAGTCATTAAACTGATGAAGTTCCTGTGGAGGTAAACAGAAGCTGAACCCCATCAAAGATACCGGAGCAGGTTTCTATTCCATGCAGCTGACAACAGATGGCAGTGAGACACCAGCTATCTCTGCAGGTCGGGAGCAGAACACAGAGCCGAGCTTGGTGGAACGGCTGCACGAAGGGCTCCAAGATCGTTTGCAAACAATTAATGCCTTTTCTAAGTCCACTCCTCAATTTTAAAACGCACCGTGGGAAATTTCAGCTGCTTGATCGCTCCGTGGAGGAACCAGAGATCCAAAGAAACAAAGCAAATATTCAGGCAGCACAGATCCAGAGAGAGGGCTGGAGTATGGGGTGAAGTATGGGACCTCCAGTCCAGCACTTGTTCCACTTTGCAACCCAAAGGCACCGTGTGCTGACAAACAGCATTGCTGCTCCTGCAGCACCTGCACACATTGCACCAGGGCAGCTGCAAACAGCACCACGACTGCACGTTATTATGAACCAGTTTTGGAGCTGGAAGCACAGAAGAAAACTCTTTCCAGGGAAGGGCTCTGGGAGCAGCCAGACGCTGGGGAGAGTGCCTGAGCCCAGAGGAGCACAGAACAGGGTTTATTAAAGGCAAGGTTGAATAATGAAAGAGAACAATGCAGAAACAATGGTCCTTCAAATGGTTTTCCTGCTTGACATCCAAAAATAAAAGGTAGCAACTGCTAAAAAAGATCTCTGCTTTCTTATTAAGGAGACAGAGGCAGCTCCATGTTCTGCACTGCTCTGGCTGGCTGGAGACAGAGCCTAAGCAGCAGTCAAGGTATGCTTTATAAGGTTACCTCAGTGTCAGGAAGACTTTGGCTGTTGCTGTTTTGTGTCAGTCTATACAGGCACATCCCCTTAAATTACACAAACTCTTGTCATCTGACAACCTTATCTCCTAAGAACCATCCCGTTTATTTCTCAGGTTCACAACAGGCCAAGCAGCATTTGGAAGGAAAGCCAAACTGTAACTTTCCAACATGCAATTCAAAACAGAACTGGAAACCAGTTTGGCCTGCTTCAGAGCAGAAGGACTTTGGAAGAGACAGGCACAGGTGTGTACCAGGATAGGAGACCACACAGCACCAAAGATGCTCAGTGATCTGAGTATCTGACAAGATCCACTGTCTCAGTCCCACCACCCAAAACACAGAGGGCTTTTGAGATCTGCAGAGTGGATTGAAAGGAGAAGCATCTACAGTTACAGACACCTTGGTGTCTCTGAGGGAGGAAGTCACAGCGTATCACAGCGTGCTGGCAGGCTTTGCACACATAACCCAACTGGCTCCGTACGAGCTGTGCTGTGCAGCTGCATCCCACAGGTAACAAACAGCCCTCCCTTCCTCCCCATCCCTTCCCAGCATTCAGTGACATTTTTAAGCCTTGACAAAATGTACTTTAAGCAAAGGAATTGTAAATGTTTTAACTGCTCACCATGACAGCCTTGTCGCACACGTTGAGCTGTGGCACTCCGGGCACCATGGTCTCCTTGTGCTGCTGCACCACAGCAGATATCTGCCTCATAACTCCTTGGTATTCATCACTAGCGAAACTAGAACGTGAAAAAAAATTCAGAAGTTGTTAGTGGGGCTTCCTGAATACAGCAGGTTTGACACACAGCATTGTTAAAGCATCACCAAGCTATGCCAGAAGACATATTCTGGGCTGCAGTGAAGAAGAGCAACGTAAACAGGCAGCCAGCACTGCACACCCGCAGCTCCATCGGGAACTAAAGGAGCTGGGCTGAAAGAATCCATCCTGGCTGGGCACGAGGCTGCAGGCCTGATTCCCAGCCTGGGGGGCAGGGACAGCAGACAGCCCTGTGTGCTCCCCAGCACAGCAGCACATGGCTCCCAGCAGAGCAGCTCAGCACAGGGCTGCAGCACGAACAGCTGCTGCTTCCAGCAGCCCCAGTGCCTCACATGCTGGACAAGAGATGCTGCCAGCTTGCGTTGGCTCCCAGGGGGATGTCATTAGCAAAGGAAAGGTGCTTTGGGGTTGTCTGCCGGTGCTTTAAGTGGTTATCTAGGGAGACCAGAGTACAGGACAGACACCTTGCCAGGTACACGACACATAAACAAGTCTGCTAAGGCTGTCCTTCCACGTGTCGCATGTGAGGTCACCCAGTTCCCAGTGCTCCCATCCTCCACTCTTCCGAGAGCTTTTCTGCAGAACGTGCATCACGTGGAGGCATTCACTGAAGGGAAGTGACAGCAATGTCAGTACTTTGTTTTCAAGAGCATTCTCCAGCTAAGGGTTTCAAATGCAACCAACTGTTGGCCAGAAAAACTCTTCACGATCGCTAAGTAAAATGAACTAATATGCAAACAGGAAGATGGAGAAGAATAGGAGTGACTGGTCCAAGACAAGAATACCTCCTTCATTTTGCAACATTACGGCTTCATTACTGCAAGCTGGGAGCCATCCATCAGGCTCCAAGCCCTCGTACGATGCTATAAATCACCAGATTCTTACCCAACTGTTACTCCAGTAGGTACTTGTTGAAGTGGTTCAGAATCTACTTCAAGTATTTCTGACGTGGAGGATGACCACCCAATGATCTCATTTTGTCCATCACCTTAAGAGTCACTTAAAAAACAGAGAGCGGCAAATTGGCTCTGAAGATAAAAGAGAAACAACGCTGCCTGCTGCTGACCTCGGGCTCCCTTTGCTCGCAGTCCAAGCTGGCCACAGCCCCACACTCCGGCTAATTTCCTACTTTGAAAAACAATCACATTTCAAAGCCCAGCAATGTGCCAACAGTTTCCAGTAAACCCTATAAATATCGCATCTCGGCAGCTGTCCAGAGAGAAGCTGATTGTGGGGATGGGCCTGAGCGCTGCTGATAGAGAAGCGGAAGGGAATTTGAAATGACAAGCTCAAGCAAACTAATCTGTTGCTCTCACGCCCTGCTAGCTGTATCCTGGCTCTACGGCTCTGCACGGACCACGTGGAAATGGTGAGGCCCCCAAATTCGCACGCTGCTCTGTGCATGCATCCTTCATAGCTCTCAAGCAGCCCCAAGGACTGCTGCGAGCAGAGGGCTGGATGCCACCAGCCACCCCCTATGGCTTCACCCTCACTGAGGACACTCCAGGCTTGGTGAGCATTGCATCCCGGTGGCACAACAGCCTTTCAGCTCAGCCAGATTTGATCCGCGAGTCCTCCGGTTGGGTTTCAAACACAGAAGGCTGTCGGCGCAGCAGCGAGCCTGGAAATATCAAAGCAGGTTTTTAAAAGAGGCCAAGAGCATTTCATGCTGACTCGTGCCCACACGTAGAGGACAGCTAATGCAGGAGAGCCTGCACAGAGAGAGACAAAGCAGCAGAGCCACGTGTGGCCAGGGAGGGCTCCCAAAGCACGGGTGGGTCCCCGGGCTGCACGGTGCGTGCCATTCAGATAGCTAATCGCTTAATGCCTTCTGCTGCTGCTCTCCTAACGTGTTTATGGCCATCACATCCCTGTGTCATCTCCCCAGCATTCCAGATCTCGCGGAAGCAGACCTGTAAGACAAAATGTTGCTGCTATCTCATTAAGCTCTTTATGCCTTTACAAATGTTTAAGTGCTAAAGAGCCCAATTTCATCCACCGAAGCGGCTTTCCGTACGCACGATTCCAAATTAGCTATAATCTGGACAGACCACTGGAAAACACAGCTGTGGTTGGGATGAAAGATAAACAATATGTTGTCATAACTGCTGCTTTTTGCTCCAAATATGCCAGTCCTGTCCCAAGGAAAAAAAAAAAATAAATCCTTCTGCTATCATCTTAAATACTGCTTTTATCCACAGCATCGTTATTCATTAGCAGCCTTAGACACGTGAAAACTGCAGGGTAACAAAGCAGGTTTGCATCATTTAAACCATCTTCTTGCTTTAATTCCCGTGCTCAGGACACTCCTGGCTGTTTCAGCTTGCTCAGCAGGGACAGGAAATCTTGGCCTAACCTCAGATGCTGGTGGTTTTCAACTGCTCTCCCCTGCAGCTCCTACAACGTTAGGATATTTGAGCCTTTAGCATTGGCTGAATGACTTCCCTTGGCACACAGAAAAGTCTTGCACTTCTCACAGAAGCACAAAGCTTGCTAAAGCTAAAGAACACATATAGATTATGCTTCGAGTTGCGCTGCTAACCTATAAACCTCCCCTCAGTGGGGTTTAACATGCTCTTAAGCTGGCTAAACCTGTTGATACTGGCTTAAAACATATCCGATCGCAGCTGCCTTCCCGGTGCTGAAGGACGTGGCAGTGACAGACCCCAAGTGCTGGAAGGTGTCACTCAGTGCTGGAAGATCACCAGAGAGGTGACGAGGTGGCTCGGTTGAACACAGAGCTGTGCTGCCCAGCTGGAGGTACAGCAGGTCCCCAGCACGGTGCGAGGCTGCAGCGCCTGCAGGACAGCAGGCTGGGCACACACACAGCAAAAGTGCCATCAGCACAAAGCACAGCAAGGCTGGGGCTGATTGTCCCTGCTGGAACACAACGCTTGGTCTGAGGAGCTGAGGTCTTGCTCAGACTGAGCTCTGCAGCTCCGTAACACATCACAAGATCCAACATCCATGCAGTGCTTTGTCAAGTACCCCCCGTCTGCCTACAGCAAACTCTGCAGCCCTATGAACGAAGTGCATTTTGTGACAAAATCTGCTACAGAGGAGTGCCTGTAATCTGCATGTTAGATGAGGATAATTGCTTCATGGTAATCAGCTAATGGAGCTGGGAGTCTCTCCTATTCAGGATCCACAGTCCCCTCCTTTCCTCGAGTGCATGTGCAGGTCTGGACTGCAAAGGCAGGGCTTGCTACATGCTCCACAACAAAACGAGATAATATCTGTACAGGTGTTTGGGTATTGTTGTCTGAGCAAGGCTGCAGATCTCGCTGCCTCCAGGGCACGCTGCATTTTGTATTCCAGCTCAACAATCCTGCAGAAGGAGAGCTGGGAATAGTACTGGAAGAATGAGAGCGCGGCGGCGAGGGTGAGCAGGTGGTGTTGTGAGGAGTTTGCTAAAAGAGATCCCCCAGCGCACATGAAATTATTCCACGCTCAGAATGAGCGAACGGAGTGGACAAAGTCCAGGGTCATTACACTAATTGACACTTTACCTCCGGGAAGTCTCTGGAGAGCCAATCAGGGCTGGATTGCGAGCGCAGGGTCCCAGGCACAGGTGTGGTCTGTGCTTAGTTCATTTAGTGTAATTGTGCCTTGGCAATCTGTTCCCATCTCCTCCCTCTCCAAACAGCTCCGAGTGTAACCTGCTCTGCTATTAACCCCACCGTGCCCTACGGTGAAATTCAGGTTGGGAGGAGGAGGGTTTGCTGACACGCTGCCTTTGGTATTAGAGCACTGGCTCAGTCCCTCGCCTTCAGCTTTGCCACCATCCCAACCTGCAAGGGAGAGGAAAGGGGATGCTCTGCCACAATAAATACACTGTCATAAATACACAATACACTGTCAAATGCATCAAAGCCACAGGAAAGTAAAGAACGCCTTCAGCCTATTTTTTTTTCCAGATCCAGATCTTGATGTGGTAATTTCTCCTTCTTCCTGATGATTCACATGCAGGCACAGCCACGTACCTCTATCCTGAGAGTGACAGAACCATGGTGCTGTTCAAAGGAACGTGACCCAGTGGCTGCTGCACAGTGCATTTCATAGGAACATGACAGTGGGCTCTCAAAGGCAGCTTTCGCATTTACGGAGGGAGAGCGCAGGACTTGGCTAATGATTTGTGTATTTTACTTCCTCCTCCTCTGAAGTTATTTTCATTAAAAAAACAAAACCAACAACATTATTTTCAATTGTGAAATACACCTAGATTCAGGTACTTTGATTTTATCTGTTATCAGTGCTATTAGGCTGCTCTGCAATGTGGTTTCCCATCTTGTCTTATTACTCAGCCTTCCTCTGTTCTTTTTTTCTACCACCAAGTTTCTCTGGAATGTAACAGCCTGCACGTTACAGACAAAGGGTTACGGAGCTCTGCTTCTGAAACACAGCAACACTGAGAGGTTCACAGGGCCAAACAAAAAAGGAGCCAAACAGAAAGCACAGGGTAATCCCTACTGTAAGGCATCCACCAGACCCAGATGTAAGCACCCCAGCAGGTGTGATGCCCCTCACCTTCGTGGCTTCAAGCAGCATTTTGCATTTTGAAACCGGCTCATGTGGCTCTTCCAATATTCCCTCTTGCACAGCATCCCTCCAGTCCAGGCAGTAACTCAGCAAACTACCTGTAGGCTGCAGGTCTGCTGCAATTAAGCACAAGTTACAGGTCGATATCAGACGCCACAGCGCAGAGCCCTAAGCCAGGACTGAGCAGCAACCGATCGAGCCGAGTTTGCCTCCATCCTTATTCCTCCATGGTTTCCATAGCTGTGGCTTTCCTCAGAGCCACCTCTCCTGTGGCAGCAGTCAATTCACTCCTGCAATGCAGCTGTTGCCATTTCCTTTTATTTATTTATTTTTTTTTAAAACCAAGCAGGCGAGGAGTCAGCACCTCCCCTGGGCAAAGTTCTGGCTCTTTGTTATCCACATCTTCCCCTCTGTTTTGCACCTTCCCTCTTTTCTCAGCGCAGAGGTTTCTGCCCTGATCACTAAGGTGAGACTGGCAGCCTTCCTATCACATCTTTTCCCCTCTAGCTTCCCTCCAGGAGCTTCTTCCCTTCTTTGCTGCTTCCATAACCAGTGCAATTACCTCTCTGATAATTTCCAGGATTTTCCATCTGCTCAGAACAGGCATTTGTGAGCTCTCTTGTTAATTATTGTGTTCTAAAAATCATTACGTTCATCAACCACATCTTATCACTTCCACTTTTTCTTCCATAATAGTCAAATCCATTGCCCTAAGTAAAATGTAGGTGTTCTGTCATTCCAATTGAAGCAAACTCAGTCCTGAACGGAGCTAATAGCTCAGAGCAGGTCGTTACCAGCCCCGAGTACCAACAGAACGTGAGCTGTACTTAATTGCTATCAAGGCTTTCTACCTCTGGTGCAAACAGAATTTCAGAGGATTTTTGCTATGAACTCTTTCTGCAGCTTTGGAGCCTTACCCAAGCTGCTCCGTCTCCTTCACTTTGCACTGCCTGTTTTGCTAGCTGTATTTTAAGCTGTGCCAGTTATGTATTGCTGCTCGTGCTCTTCCTGACTGGCATGAAGTACTTCAGTAAGATACAACCTCTAACTTAGGTGGTAAAGCTGACAGCTGGCTGGGGAGATACCAACAGATAATTTAACTGAATTTGTCAAATATAGGCTGAGTGGAGAAACGAGTTCCATGCGTGGGACTTAGGGGACACACAATACCCTGAACACAACAGACTTCAGTAAGGAAGATGACCTATCAGATCTTCTGCTTCTGCATTTTGATAAATTTGGTAACCGAGGCACTCTGCAGTTTGAGTGTTTTTATGGGAAACAAAATCAACCAACCAAGAAAACCCAAACCCCCAAAAATCAGTTGGTGCATCTAGGGAGGAAACAAAATACTGCTCAGACCCACAGAAACGCTTCTGCTTTGCGTGCTGCTTAACACACAATCTACATTTAAAGCCTGAGAGCTTAAGAAACAAACAAGCCAAAAGCATCTTCTATCTGGCAGCCTACACAGATCTACTCAATCTCTCAAATGACCAAAGACACGGGATGTTCATTTCTCTCTACACAAAGGCAAGATAACGAGGTAACTATTGCTTATATACATACAGTTACGTTGCATTTCTGGCAAGCAAAAGAAATATTATTTACCAGGAACCACACTCCTCTGAAATGCACTGCCCACACGTACCCTTGCACTGCAGGTGTTCTTATTACAAGCACCTCTCCAGATGCCAACGCTGCCTTATCAGTACCTCATCCCACTGCCAGACAGACCTGCAGCACCTCCTGTGGTGCCAAGCTCCTCTCTATTCCAGGACCAGAGCCCCACAGCTCCCAGCTGAGTCTTCTCTTTTCTCAGAAGAGGGATCAAAGCCTGGCAGTGAATGTACCTGATGGCAATGCTGAAGGTCAGCCACAGGACAGGGATTGTGCTCCATCCCACCTGCTGATGAGCTGATGTAAAAATGGCATCAGTGGGGCAAGCTCAGGCAGGACTCACAACGTGCATCTGGCATTGCTGTGAGTTCCAGCTAACAACGTGGAAAGTCAGTGAGGCTGCTGGGCTGAAGTTGCAAGCTGGACAAACATCAGTAGTTACCTTCCAAGGCAATAGGGGCAAACACAGCTACATCCCCGAGGTGCTGGAGGTGATCCAGCCCAAAACAGAGGGGCAACTGCAGGAAGGAACAGCCACTGCCCTGTTAGGAGGGTCTGCTCCTAGAGTCAGACATGCAGAAGGATGCACACCCAGCCTCACGTGCAGGGGAACCTAAGTGCAGAGTGCCATAGGGCTCAGAACTGCCAGACGTGTCCTCAGCGTGACCACAGGGCCTGCCTGTAATGGCCTGACCCGTTTTCCCACTGCATGAAAAGAGCTCCTGAGACAAGCTTTTGCTGATGATGCTTCCAGGCAGGCTTTGGGAAGTGCAGCAAGCTGTGTCAGGGAGAGGAAGGACTTCACAAAGCCCAGGGAACTGAAAACTTCACATGCTCTCTCCAGATCTTGAAGGACTTCTACCTTTGGTGATCCCTGTAGCAGCCAGGTCTCCAAGAATGACAAAAAAAGCCAATTTCTATGTTCTGAGATGAACTGAAAGCAAAGCCTTGAAAAAGTCTCCATCTCAAGCAGCACTCTCACAAACATTCACAGACAATTCAGATGAGACTGCTTAAATATAAGCACTCTGCAAGCCAGGAGCGTTGCCTCAGCTGACTGATCTGACTGATTTCCAGGACACTTTGGCTCTGAAGAGCCCAAATATATAAACTGTAAATCTCTCTGGAGGTGTGTGATGCCTGCCCTTCAAATGAAGCCATGAAACCTCTTTGCATGTGGTTCTGCACGTGCCACTATGCCCAACTAATGCAAATCAAGACACACAACACGTGACTACAACATCTTTTTTTGGGTGGAGAGGGAAGGGTTGAACTAAAATAAGGAAAAAATAATTTTAAATGCCACAAAAGCAAACAAAGAGAAACACGGGATATCAGTGTGCCACGATGCTCCTCCATAGACTACAGAAGACAGAAAACCTATTAAAACCAGGTGTGGATTCAACAAGGAAAAACAGTACACGACATAGAAGAAGGAAACATACCAAGAAATCAGGGAGGCAACGCAATTTCCTAAAGGCTTTGGCAACAAAAAGAGAAGCCAAGCTGGTGAAAAAGTGTGATCCACCTTGCTGCTCCAGGGCTGCCTGGGGATGAACGGGGGCTGTGGCCAACATGGGCTGTGAGCACAGGCGACGCAACGCAGCCAGCACACAGACAGACAGATGTGTGCTTGGAGGAGAATGCTGGATTCCCTTCTGAGAAACATTAGTGTCGGGACTCCCAGCAGGCTGCCTGCCAAGGGGGATAATTAAGCTAAATAAAAATACACAACAGGAACAGCTCCTCAAATGAGGATAATTTAATTACCACGTTGGATATAGGAGACCCACTTCCCATGAGTTTTCCGCTGCGACCAGAGAGGAGACAACAGCAACACAACGTGCTGCAGGAGAGTCATTTATGAAGAAGCAGCTTTCTATTAAGGTCTGCATATTAAGCAAAGCTACAGCTTCCCATAATCGTGTCTTGGTATAAAATTCAATCAAAGAAACAGCTTTGAATGTCCAAAAATCAATGGAAGCATACAACAAAATGATTGCAGATGTCACTCTGGAATTTATTTCAGCGCTCAGCCCGTGGTGGTTGTAAGGAACAACCTTTATTCCTTCCCTAAATGAGAGGGAAGCAGGAATCCTGCAAACAGCCCTTAGACAGGATCTCCCCTCCATCAGATCTGTCAGAATTTGAGAGCACACAAACAGCAGACAACCTGCAGTTCTCTTAATACCACCATTCACTTAATTTTTGCAAGAAGGAGTCATTTCTATCCATTCATCTTTCTAAAATAAAGTAGCTGTTCAATTGAACAGGGCATAATCTCATCTGGAATCCCAACCCAGCAGCATCGTTTCGCTGAGCTGAATTTAAAATACAGGAGCTGCAGATTTGCTTTATTCATTAGTGCTGAAATGCAATAGAAAGGAAGAGCTAACGTGCTGGGCTTCTGAAGAGCTTTATACACTGCCTAATGCACCTCTAGGGTGCTCGTCTGTTAAGTGAGAGAGAAGTGAAAATATTTTTCCTCCCCTTCTCTCTAGTGGAAACACTTAGTGGACAGCACAGGCTCAGTTCTTTTGGAAGTAATGGAGCGAGTGTATCCACTCAATTATTTAAAACAGTTGAGTAATTGCAGTCCTGTCAGCTCAGGAAACATCTCTCTGTTAAAGCTGCTGCACAAAACCATGTCTGTGCAGGCACTCACCATGCCTGTGCTGAAAAGAGCACTAGTTTCTCCTTTATTTGCTTGCACACCCTCCAAGCCAGAGACACAAGTGAGGGATGAGGCTGTGTGCCTCTGCCTGTGTCTAATCCTGCCAGAGAACAAAACTCACTCAGAGGGGAGGAGGGAGCTGGGACACCTCAGCAGCTTTTTGGAGGTGCCAGATTTACGTGTGGACAGTGCTGGCTGATGGCTACATAAATCCTTACAGAAATCTCTCAGGGCACGGTGTGTGCTGGAGATAAATATTACAATAGTAGGCTTACAGGAAAATGGATTTGGACAGCCAGGAAGCCGAAGGAGGGAAAAGGATTGGGCAGAAAGTCTCGCAAAGACTCTCTGGAGAAGCTCATTTAGCAGGCTTGGAAACTGATGGGTTGCCCCATTTGCCTGCACGGATTCCAAAGCAGTGCATGGAAAAAACCAGTGCAGAGCACGGGAAGATCACCAGGGGTTTCTTCCCCAGCCCCAAAATGCACTGGGAATTGCAGCAGAGTAGCTGCACACAGGCACACTATTGCTGCTGCTTCATTCCACAGCTGACCCACACGTAGCCCTGTCCTACCTAGGAGTGAACATTTGCCTTCTGTAGGCAGTGCTGGGACACAAACCAAGAACTGCTGGCCTGATGAGCTGAGCCACCAACATGTGCACACCCACCCAGCTCGACCCACTGAAAATGCTTGCTCCTTTTCTTCGTTGCTCACGCAAGTGATGGCTTTCTGGGATAGTTTTCAAGCAGATTGTAAATATAAAAACAGCTATCGAGGCAAATGAATTATGTAAAGCGTACATCAGCAGTGCTGAGTGCTTTCACACCTTTGTTAATTGGCTCACCTTAACGGGTATTTCTCTCCAGGGTCCCTGCCCAGGTGGAAGAGCAGTGGCAAAGTGCTGTGCTCCTCCTGCAAATGTGTTGTCACTCCAGAGACATTCTGTCCAGGACAGAAATCAATGCCCTGCGGTGAAGAGAAGGAAACAGGTCATCAAGCACGAAGCAGGGGCAGGAACACAATTTTAGCTGGTGCTGCTTCCTTCGGCGTCTTGTTCCAGTATACCTGTGAAACCCACGATCAGCTTAAACCCAGACAGTCCTCTTTATTCCACAAACTGGATTCCAATCTGTAGGAGGTAAAATAAGATGATAACAACTCGCATTGCACTGGCATAAACCAGAAGCTAATTTCAAAGAAACGGGTGCGTTTGTTTGACCTGGTTTACAGCATCTCAGAGAGCTGGTATTGAAGCACTCACCTGGGGACGAGAGCTGTGCTAGGAGAATTGTGTTATACCTGAGACTGAGAAACTGGGACCTCTCTGCAGCGACAGAATGAAGGGCACAAGGACTGGGGTTCTGTTTGGCACCAGCAGTGGGTAAGTGCTCAAAGGCCACTGAGGGCCAGAGCCAGTTGTCAGCTCGCAGGCCCGGAGCAGGCAGCTCTCTGCATCTGCCCTTGCAGCTCCCAAACTGCAGCCAGTTATTAGCCAGATGTCAGGCTAATAACCCAGAGCCTGCCTGCAGCCTTGTGGGCTAACAGAACTCATTTAGCCCTGGGAACAGCAAAAAATGTAAAGCACTCATTTCACTGAACAGAAAATAACGCGGGGAGCCCTGTGGACCAGCAAGGGCTGGCACCTGGTAAAACCCAGCTTTAACAATTCCAGCCAACACGCTGCGCTCCTCACAATACCTGAGACAAGGACAGAGACGTGGAGAGAGGGTAAATGGGAATATTTCAATGGAAAAGCAGCTGTAGCATTTGCTTAAAAAGCAAACAAACCGAAAGGCTCTCTACAGATGTTGGTAGGATTTGATTGGCAAACCATTTTCTAAAAATATCCTGTGTTTTTAATGGACAGCTGGTCAGTGGAGCAGTTAATATTCTGCTTTTCAATAAAGCAGGAAGGTTAGAAGCCCATGAAATCCCATTTATCTGCACAGAGCTATAGATTCCTGAATCACTGACTGGAAAAATAAGAGAGTTGCTTGATAGGTTGTAGTGGCCGGCCAATAATGGACTTTAAATGGATACAAAAATGATTGACCTTCCCACCTTCTGGTGCCACAGGCCTCGGAAAAAAGAGTGAAAAATAGATTTTTTTATTTATTTTTTTTCCAAAAGGAACAGTTAATGAAAAGGTATCAAAGCCTACATAATATCCAAATTATAATTTGGATGCAAATCAAACAAGCAATTTAATTAAGAGCCCGCTAATTGGTACAATACTCTTTGGCTGCAAATGCTTCTTTCTGAAAGAAGATTTGAGCCTCTTGGGTATTTATTTATATACTGCTCTGCTTACGTTTTGCCTTCTGTTTCCTTTAGCCAAGGCTCCAGACTAAGGCTCAGGGATGCCCCAAAGCCTCCTAGGAAAGAAGGTGCTGTGACACCTTGCCTGAGGCCACCAGCCAAAGGCTATCTGTCTTTCTAATCTAAGCAGTCGATGCCCTGCTCAAAAGCAGTCTGCTGGGGATAGCAATAATCAATCAAACTTACTGTTTTGTGACACTGATAAATAACTCTCCTAAAGCACGGCTGAAGCCACGCTTTAAATTCCTCAGGCCTTTCAACTTTACCTCCACAAATATAACAGACCATTATTATTTTTATGTACTGTGTGACTGCTGATATTCAGCCACCAGAGACAGCTTGAAAGTTATTTTCTCCCTGCTCGTCAGCAAATGAGCAAAATGTGAGAGGTACCATTCCATCTTCACATACCTGACGAAGGCATTGCCCAGCATCACAGCAAGTGACACACTACAGATACAGATGGTGGGGCCTGCTCCTCTGCACACATTTGACAGGAAACAATATTTAACGTATCACCCACAAGCTCTACTTCATCCTGCTTCTTATCTCAACGCATTTTCAGTTCTCAGGATGGAAAGAAGGAAAAAAAAAAAAAATCAGTTACAGCACCGAGCTGAAAGTCTGGGATCCTCACATCCAGATTGCTTTTAATTTCTGGAGCAAAACCAGAACAAACTAAATCTGCTTGGGATTTGAGGATTATTTAAAGATGAGGCAATCCACGCTCTGGAGCATCTGGACGATGCCTCTAGCTGCTTGGAAAGCATGAGGATTTGGTCATGTGTGTTTCTGGGAGCTGGGGGCACAGGGATGTGCCCAAACTCCTTGCGTCCACCTCCGACAGCAGAGAAGGAGCAGGAGGGAAACAGCTCTGCTGCCCCACATGCAGGCTGAAGGACAGCAGGTCTGGTGGGGGGTCTCCTCTCGAGCACTTCTGTCGGTGAAGGTCACTAGAAGATAACTTGAAATCATTAAACAACTCTTTTTTCCTTTTCTTGTAAAAGCCTGATCTGACAACACGCCCCACAGATCCCAAGGACGCTGCAGGCTTTAGCACTAAATACAGACGTGCCCAATTCTCAGCTGGAGCAAAAGCCAGCTCGTTGCATAAGCAGCAGAGAGGTCTCCCCATTTACTCCGCACGGCCAACAGGATGGCAGCTTTGCTCAAAAGGAAAGCTGTATCACGTGAAGAAGAGCAAAGAGGCAGGGAGGCACAGCTGCCCCTTCCTCCAGGATGACAAAAGCCCAGCCACCACTTTGTTTTTATTTACTTGGAGCTCTTTGGCAGGCTGTTAGTGACCATGTGCAGGGGATCAGTTAAAGCACACGCCTTCTATTCCAGTCTGCTCACAATCCAAGGCAATTTGCATGTTGACAGTAACACTGATCAAACAAAGCAGAAAGGTCACTCCCTGTGTTTAAGCAAATTCTTGCATCTTTCCTTCCCAACTCCAAAAGCACACAAGCCAAGCCAGAAGATCCTATCTAGAGCACACCAGCTTTGTGCTTTCTAAGGGAACCGATCAAAGAGCATCAGATGGCAAACAGAAGCATCTCAGCTCCCACACCAGACCTCTTATACCAGCAGCATCCTGCACCTGTCTGCTGGAGGAGTAATCCCACTAATCATTTAATTTAAGAAAAAAAAAGAAAGAAGGAAAGAAATACAACAACAAAACCAACCAAGCAGCACTCCCTGCGCATCAGGGAAGCCTTTGGGCGAGCCCATCCTTCAGCCCTTCCTCCCAGCAATCACGTAACCCCGACGGTTTTTCCATCCCTAAGACCTGGTGGCAATCGGTCGCACGGCTTATGCTTCAATTTCCAGAGCAAATGGACCACAGATGCTATGTCAATATAGACATGAGACAAATACAGCTGGCTGCCAGCGCGGGCTGCGCGCCAAGCGATGGAATCACCACTTGTGTCAACGTGAGCCCTCTGGCAATTCGTCACCCTGGCGCTGGCCCAGCTCGCTCCGACCTGACAGGCAGAGGAGGAATTCGATGGCAGCGCAGCGAATCTGGGGGCTGCCTGCTGGTCATGGCTCCTCATTCCATCACACGAGACCCAGAGCTGCGTTCGTATCGGAGGGAGAAAACATCGGCGGTTCATTAAAGCCAGTTTCTCCCTCTTTGCCACGGCGCCGGTAAGCGGCCGCTGTCACCGCAATGGAGGCTCCCAACAAAACCTCCCGGCCCGCAGCTCCGACTGCCTGTTGAACAAAAATTGCTTCTAATGTGTTAACTGTCTGGAAGAGACCCCCGAAGATGGGCAGATCGGCGAGCCCCCGTCGGCTCTGAGGCAGCAGCGATCAATGGCTAGCTCATGCGCTCAGAGGACCACAATCAAATGTCATTATTTGTGAGGTTCTACTTGACTTCACATCCCCCTCGCAGAAAAGGCTTTATCGATCCCTCCGTGTCGAGGAGAAGGGCAATCAGACAGACTGCAGCAGGAATAACCCCGTGGCATTTTACATTAAAACAATAGCATCTTCTATCGCAGGCACCTCCACCGATCACTGAAAGACACAGGAGCCCCTCCGAAAAATCACTGAAGGCTACTAACAAGATACTAAGCTGACAGCAGAAAGGTTGATGCTATCAGCCACTCTCCAACGAACCCAAGGGCTTTTTCCATATTTCTAATATTATTTTTTTTTTTTCCCCTTCTTGCATCACTGCTCTCAGAAGGCACAAGGATTGTGCTCTGCTGGATAACCTCAGTGGCAGGCACAGAGATGGTGATTTCCTTTCTCCTACCTCCTCCACATCGCATTACCTGAAGCAACCCCTGGAGGACTTGCTGGCTACTGGGGTAAATCCATCAAGAAAAGCCATTTGTCTCCTCTTCCAGGCCTCTCCTTCCAAATGAGGAAGGTTGCATGTCCCTCTCCAGGGACAAACAGGACAGATCAACAGGACAAAACGACTGCTAACAGTACCAACTCTGGGCATTCACATTTTAGGAACAAGAAGCTGCGAACCCAGCAACACCTCTGTGGAAACCAGCAGCAACACAGCAGCAGTGCGTGAAACACCACCTCCTCACACAGAACTGTCATGCACTCTGCAGTCAGGAAGAGTCCTGGGTGCCTTGTGCTGTGCAGAAGGAGCTCCTCAGGCTTCTCCTCATTCCTCTGCAGCATCAGCCCTTCCGTCCCTGGCTTGGTAAAGGCCAGTGGTGTTGCTGAATTCTGCCTGGGTTCAGTTTGAAGTCTGGGCTCGGCAGCCAGGGCACAGCGGTGGTGGAGAACATCCCACAGACCTTGGTCACATTCAGTGAATTCCTCACGTTCTCCACAGACTTGTCTTTCAGTTTTTCTCCACCAACCCATGTCCCATTTTTTATTTCCACTTCCACCAGGAACTGAACCACGCGCTTCATCTCTGTGAAAGCTGATAAATCTCAGTACCAAGCCAGAAGGCAGAGGATGCAGACCAGTGAGGGCACGCCAATGTCATTGGGGTCTAGGACAACCAGCAGCCTGTGTACTGTTGTACAGGATGTGCCCAGTGTAAATACTCCAAGTGCCAGATGGAGAGAAGCATTCATCTGCTTGTTATGCTTCCCGAGGCTTTGCTTTCCATAAGCTGCTTCCCTCTGGTAGATTTTTATTTATACATACATACTTTATTACTTAACTAACTTAGACCACATTCAAGTGCATAGCTTTCCAGGTTAGAGGCCAAAATTGCACATTCTTTCTAGTTAATCCCATCAGGGCTGGTAGTCCTAAACTGACATGACTGTGCCTGGTCCCCAAGACGTGCAATAATTTCCAATGTCAACATGAAAATATGATTCCTGGATGCTTTAGTGGTACAATCTCATCTAAAAGTCAAACAAATACGCACGATGCATAGATTAAAACCAGTGCAAGTTTTCCGTATCACTGATTTCCCACCCTGTCAGTTAACAAGGGAATTTGAAAGGAGAAGGAGGTTTGGGCAAAAGGTGCCACGTATGCATCAAAATAGTGAGAAACTCAACCACCCCCAAAAACAAACCTTTTAAAACTGTGCAGACGGCCATTCTGACACATCTGGCCAACTTGAGGCCCCTTCCAAACGGAACGACATGCCAACCAGATCCATCTGTTCATGCCAGGTCTGAGCGAGGGACCCTCGAGGCAGGAAAAATGTCACGTTGGAAAGTGTAACAGAACTCCCTGTTAGATTCCCAGAGAGGTGAAGGACCCAGGCCAGAGATCAGAGAGCTGACAGGGCCTCGTTAGCTACAGCTCCAATGGGAGGCAAATCAAAGTATCCAACAGCAAGCCTGCCCACAAGACACAGCTCCTAATGCCACACACACACGTATGCAAATCCACTTTTCAAAGGAAATTAGCAAACAAACTGGCCTTTTTGATTCCAGCCCAATAGTTGCAGCCCAATATCAAAACAGCTGAGAACAACAGGCACCAAAAGAGGCGTTGGATCAGGAGGTGAGATTACAGAATTCCCAAAACAAGGCTCACAACTGCGGAACTGTTCTGCATTCTGATTTCTTTCTATTTTTAAACTTGCAAGGCTTGTAATTAATGGCTCGAGGACATGAGGAGAATTGGAACAAATTTCAGCCTCAGCTTCCTCTGCGTGTTGTTAATGGCTAGTCTGTCCACTAATGTGCTCCAATTTTACCCACATCAACCACATGTGATACAAGCTGCAGGAAAGCCAGTGAATTTTTAATCATTTCTCTGATGTACAGTATAATTGCTGACTTTTATCAGACAGCAGTTAAACAACAGCTCAGAAAGGAATAAATATTCCTTAATTGCACAACTGCCATTTCTCACAGTAGGAGAGCGTTTGAAATGAGTAACTGGTCCCCATTATCACAGCCACACACATCCTCAGACATGTACCAATAAGTTCAGATCAATGCAGGCGTTTATTTATGACCAAACAAGGTATGTCAGTATGTGCATGTAATACAATGCAGGGCAATTATTCACACCCATGGCAAAAGCATGCCCTCGAGTCCATTCATATGGCTGTCCACAACAACAGGCAAGCTCCCAGTGCCTCTCACACAGGGAAAATCCTCATTATGGCACGTGTGACATAGGTGCTTTCCTCACAGACTGACCCAGACAAGCACATGGTCTCCTTTTAGCTGTGCAATATTAGGGTTGACACGCAGCGTGCAGTGCATTTTCAGAGTCAACTTCCCTTCCTAATCTGTGAAACACAGAAACTCCTGGAGCACTGCAGCCTTAGAAAGACAAACACACGCCTTTACAGCCCTGAATGTGAATGACTCCCTTGGAGCTGACGTTTCCTTCTACCCCCAGGACATCCCCATGAAAGAAACCATGCACTTTTACATCCACAAATGTCACCAGCACTTATTTCTGCACCTGTGACGCCTTGAGGACCCACCGTAAGTTAAAGAAAAAAAGGCATAAAAAAAATTCAATCAAACAAACAATCCCTCCCCAGTACCAGCCTGCTGTCAAAACTGCTGAAAGCTGTGCCATAATGCATTTAGTTCATGTCTAAAGGTATCATCAGCAAGGCACACGTGTGAACCTGCCATTCAAGAAACGTCCCAGAGTTCAGCACTCAGGTCTGAGGCAAGGAAGTCACAGAAGAAGAAAAATAACAGTGTTTAACATCTAATTGTGAGAAGATCAGCCAGAAAACTGCAAAAGCAGCTCCTCTTTGGCAAACAAAATGTGAAGCATCTTACAGAGTGATACGGGCTTGCAGAAGTGCTGGTAATAGATTAAACATATGGAGCGCAGTGTTTGTGATGGCTGCTGCTCTTTCCACTGCACTGAAGAGCTTTCCCTTTCAGGAAAAAAAGACCAATAAAATAGCACATCCCTATCTCCTTTCCACAGTTCAAGGCACTCTGGGTCTTTTTCACCAGATACACAGATAAATGACCCGTTCATTTGGCATCAGTCTCCAAGCTCTGTAAAGGTACACGTGAAAGATCAGAATTCAGCAGGGAAAGAAGCTTAACATTAAGGGGCATTCAGTGCTGCTTCAAGGGAACGCCACTCGGGACAAGTCAGGCTTTGCTCATTTTCCTCTGCTTGTCTCTGACTTCATTCAGCACAGGGGTGCAGGTGACACCAGTGCCCTTGGATTTTGGAGATTGGGTAGCTCTTAAGAGGCCGTGAAGGAAAGGCTGGTTCGTAAGTGCTCTGTGGCATCCCCCAATTAAAACACCTCTTGAAATGGTTATTTCCCCCCTGGAAAATGACTGGGAAAGAGAGAAGGAACGAGAGGAAGGCGCAGGTCGGTGTGCTGTTACCTTGCTGTACTCCTCCCAGGAGTTGCTCCAGGTCCAGTAGTGAGCCTTGTAAAGCCCGACTCTCACCGCCATCATCTCATTGCCACGGTAATAGAATATGGGCCTGCAAGGGAGAGCAGAACTGCATGAGAAATGCCAGCACGCCAGCCTGGGCAGCTGCTGCCGCTGCCTCGCTGATAAGGGAGACAAACACTTTAATGGCGTCTGACTTCCGATCCAGCTATCAGTCAGAAACAGGCTGCCTCCTAATAGTCTCCACTGCAAGGTTTTCAATTAACATTTTTTAAAGTGTTCATCAAGTTGAGAGCTCACACGGCGCAAGAATGAAATATTATACAGCTTGGCTGCCAGTGATTATTAATCCTTGAACTATCAGACCCTGTTATTTCCTATAGAGCGTGCCGACTTAAACACCAAATGTCTCAGAAGCGGCGAGCGTCTGCCAGAGAGAGAGAAATAGGGATTCACAGAGAATATGGTGCTCACACTCCTCTTTGTGGCAGCATCGACATATGTGCTGTTCCCATCTGAGGCACAGGATGGCCGGGGAGGACACCGGATGCTGGCCAGTTGGGGATTTCAGATCTGAAAAGCTCCATAAAAAAAAGAAACCTGGCACCAAGACAGGCTTCATTTTTAACTCCTGCCCATTCGCTTTCCCCTGAAGCATCATCTAAGCTCATAATGAAATCTGCAACCTCGCCCCCAAAGTTCCCCTACAGGTACTGAGGGCACGATCCACACCCAAGGCACGTGCACTGCGCTTCCTCCCGCGCATCCCAGCCGTGCTCCCTTTGGTGTCCCTCAAAACGTGCTCTCATTTTTTGAGGGAACAGTACAAATTTCCACTGAAATGATCTATTGCAAGAGAACGGCTTCAGTGGCTGCTGCAGTTTGCCCCACAAGGACACCAGAGGCAGCTCCTCTCTGGCTGTGTCAGCCTGCTGGCAGGAGGAGATCGCTGGGCTGCTTATTGCATTGGGAAGGGTATAAGCATCCTTTGTCTTTGATTCAGATACCACTAGGCAAAAGCTACTCTCTCTGGAAAAAAACACAGTTCCTAACTATAGGGGTAGTTAGGGATAGAGATAAGATTAAAATCTCTGCATCCGAATGACAGGAGTGGCCTTAGATCTCCTCTATTTTAAACCACAGCCTTCCCTGCAGGTTCCTCGCACAAACAATGAGCCTCTGTCATTAGGAACCGCTCATGAACAAAGGGGAAATGCTGCTGCCAGCAGTGCCTGGTCCTGCATCCTAACACCTGAAGTGCCTGTGAAATAAAGGCAGCCTGAGAAGCCTGCCAAAACGCAGGACTTGATCTAAACCAGTTTCATTAACGAAATAAAACAGCCCAAACAAACACGCCACGCTTGAAGCACGCCAGCCTCCTTTTTCCTTGCCATAAACACAGACCATGCGACAAGCTGTGATGTGACCCTCTGCAAGAAGGCACACAGGTTAGGTTTTGCATTAAAAAAAAAACCCAACAACAAACGTCTCCATCTTTGAGAAAGGCTTTCAGCTCACACTGAAAATGCTGCTGCCGCCGATTCCTTTCTTTCCCGTTCCCTTTTTTCCTTTATAAACTTAAAAGAACCCTACAACTGCATCCCCTGGAAACGCCTTGGGGCAATGGGAGCTGTGATGTCCCAGTCAGGTTTGGGGTGGAAAATCAATCAATCAATCAATCAATCAATAAGAAAAAAAGAAGAGTCATCACACAGCCTTGAGTAATCATTACTGCAACACGAATGGCACTGCTGTAAGAGATGGGTGGCTGATATTTCCTTTATTTTCCCTTTGGTGTCATAAGAAAGCTCCACAAAAGTATCAGGCTGTGTTTGCAGGACCTGCAGCAGCTCACGTGAGCCAGCAGATGAGCTCTCAGGTAATGCTGCACACATAGCTCTCGTTTTAACAGGCACATAAGTAACAAGTTGTGGAACAAAGGCTCCCATCCAACACAGAACAGAACTCAAGTATGTTTTGGATGTGTATGTTTCCTTGCTGTCTTACTGACAAAGAATATATTTGTACTCAGGATTTCCCAGGCTGCCAAATTATCCCAATCTCAACAAAAATATCTCTCTTGACCTCCAGGCCATCCAGTGACAGCCAAGGATGTTTGCTGTCAAAATCTGCACCCAAGCAGTATTCCTGCATGCCCATAAGGATCCCAGCTCTTTAATTCAAACGTGCCTTTATAAAAGGACCTTGGGAAGAGGTGGGCTTCTGGTTCACCTGTGGCAGTCCAGCCTTTAATTCCAGCTTCTCTCAGACTAGAACTATATTCTGCAATGAGCCAATATACTCCTGGATGTTTTTTCCAGTAATAAATAATGTATTTTCCCCTACCCAGGCTACAGTTCGCAGGCTTTTATCTCCCTTGCTGCCATATGCTGTTCCAAGGATCCCTGCTAACCCCCTGACATTTGCATTTGTCCCCAGACTCCACCATACAGCAGCATGTCATGTGTCAGGAAATCTCACCTCTGCCTGCTCCAGCAGAGGATTAATGCACAGGGCAAAGCTCTGGTGCTACCTCATGGTCATCGGCCAGGAGCAAAGACGCATCTGTCCAGATTATAAAATATTTCTGTAAACTCGATTTAAAATTAAAAAAAGAAGAAGAAGAAGAAGGCAAAGATTGGCACCACTTCAGTTTGGAGGCAAGGATCAGAGCTCCGGGCTCATAACGAACCTGTCAATTAGCTCGCCCCGCAAGATGGCAGGTAAAAGGTCGACGCCGTCAATCTGTCTGTCACTCGGAGCCTGCAGACCCACCAGGGAGAGGCTGGTGGTGAAGAGATCCATCACGCTGCCCAGCTGCCGGCTGACCTGAAACATCAACAGAAACCTTCAGCAAAAGCCATACAGAGGGAGGCTTCCTGCCAAGCACAAGCACCGCCTCCTGAACCTCTTTTAAGGTTCTCTCCCTTTGCAGTGCTGCAGCAAACCCCACGTTACAATAACAAAGGGGACGATCCATACTTCCCCACTTCCGTTTCCCTCTTTTCCCCCTCACTTCTCTCTCCATGTATCCAACTCAAAGGAGCTTTTTTTTTTCTTTCTTTCTTTTTTTTTTTTTTTTGCACAGTTCAACCTCGTTTAACAAATTCTGAGTCATTTGTGGATTGAAAAATCGACGCTTACAACAAGAAAGAAAAAAAGAAGTCCTTGATTTGTTCCCTCCCCAGGTCATCTCTGTATTCCAGAATATCCTCAGAGCGTGCACAGAAAGCACAGGGATAGATGGATAACAACAAAAAGAGCCTGATGACTTCATCTGCAAACCATTTCCAACAATTCAAGAACTGTAAAGTTGTGGTATTTTTAGTATATATTTTAATAAGGGAGAAAAACATCTGGTTTTGGTTCCAACGGAGATTCGCAAAGCATTTTTTTTGTTTGTTTGTTTTTGCTGTTGTTTCTTTTTTTTTTTCTCCTTTAATTGGAGAGTGGTGAGGTGCTGGAACAGCTGCCTAGAGAGGCTGTGATGCCCCGTCCATCCCTGGAGGTGTTCAAGGCCAGGTTGGATGGGGCCCTGGGCAGCCTGGGCTGCTATTAGATATAGAAGTTGGTGGCTCTGCATGCAGTGGGAGGGTTGGAGCTTGATGAGCCTCGAGGTCCCTTCCAACCATCCTGTGATCTAAAAACCAAACATTCTCTTCTGACTGATCCCTTCTGAAGCTCTGCTCCCATCCTCCTTGGGCAAGCTACAGTTAGCTGCTGTGGGATGTTTAATTAGCCAGCAGCACACTACACTGAAGCAGACAGATTCGAACCAAGAGCAAGCATGCTTTGCACCAGGATGCACCAGCACAAGGTGTGATGTGAAAAGAGCTCTTCTTGCCATCTGATACAAGCTCACAGTGGTAACTTCAGAAGCACGCTGTGACCAAAACCCACGTCCTACCAGCAGCTTGCTGATGTCAGTGTGAACATCACAGTGCTGTCACTGTCAAGGCCTTTGCATCTCAGACTCTTCCTTCTTGTCCCAAATAGACCCCCGGCCTGGAGGGCCATGCTAATTATTAAAAAAAGATGACAAATGATAATGTGGTAAGTGAATACTTGCAAGATATTGGTTCCCTTACTCCTGAGGAAAGAAAATGAAAATGCTATTTCTCCTGGGACACTGGGACTTTTGTTAAGAAGCCAAGCTGAAGAAAGTGAACACTTAGAGGAAGAATTAGCAAGTTAAAAACACAGCAAAAGAATTGAGAAAGCAACATGCAGAGGAGTGATTACAAGTTTAACATTACAATATCGCATTACTTGATTACAGCAATTTCAAACTGTAATGGCTTTCATTCATCAAAAGGTGTTGGCAGGAACACGCAATATGAATGCTGGGTGTAAGAATGCTTTCTCACAACTCTTATGAAGCAAACAAGGTGCAAAGATCTCTGCTAAAGAGGAAGCCCTGAGCACAGAAACCCTCACCCAGGAAGGCAGCGCATTCAACTGGCTCTGGGGAAAGCCTGGGGCAAGCTGTGAACTCATGGATATTGGGATGCTCCCAGGACTGTCCTCTCACTGAGGCTCCTCTCTGGTCTTATGTGTTGAAATACTAAAAAAACAGCAGGTAGAAAAACAACAACAACCCAAAAAGCATCAGCTCACTCCTTCCAGGGCTGGACAGATTCATGAGCCACTGATGCTGGGAAAGCTTCTCTCCCTGAGGTCAAAGGGGATTACAAGAGCTCAGCATCTCAGCAGAGATGCTCAGTCCCTTGTAGGCTCATCTGCCGGCTAATTTACCTCCAGCAAGCCTTAAGAGAGCTGTGGGGTCAGCAGAACAGCATGTGCAGAGCTCAGAGTCCAATCAGAGCAGATGTGGCACACGCCTGCTCCCTCCTGCTGCCATGCCAGGCAGGCAGAAAGGTGTCCGAGGCTTTTTGTAACGAGGCCTTGCAATTCTACAGCAAATCCAAAAGTCACTTTTCTTGTCGTCACTGCATCCCCTTGCCTCAATCTTTTGATAACAAGCAGCAAGAGGCAGCTGCTGACCTGAGCCTCGTGCCTCTAACATCTCCTAATTCATATATCGCGTTGTGACAACCCTGTGGGCCCACCGCAGCCTCCCTGTACCGCTCCTTATTAACCATAACCAGATGTAGATGACTCTCTTTAATCATCCCATTACGTTTCTGGTCTCAGACCACATTTTTCCATGAAGCAGAGAAAACTTCTTAAGGAAATTAAATGCCCGTGCCACAGCCACTTGGATTTATCTGTGCTCTGCAGCACCGCGCTGTAGAACGGGGGGGGGGGAAGGAAAAAAAAAGGTTAATATTTATATAAAACTTTGAAGTATTTTCAGAGAAAAATAAAAAAATTACCATTTTCTCCTGTCAACAGCGCTCTTTCATTCTAGTTGCCTTTCCCTTTTTTTTTTTTTTTTGAAGAGAAAAAGAAAAATCCAGAGAGGGCAACAGCCCAGAGAAAATAAATAATATATAAGAAAGAGTGAGATCAGATATTGCTCGTATCAGCAAGAAACAGCCGGTATTACGCACGTAAGAACGGATTTTTCCCCCCCTTCTTCCTCCCCCTTCTTTTTAATAAACTCTCCGTATACACAGAACGTCTTTAAGAAAATGAAATCCTTTTGCTGTGGGCCACGTCGCTGGAAGAAATAGTCACCACTGCTGTTATCAGTGCTTTCAAGCTTTAACTCTGAATCAAAGGCGACAATTAATAAAGTCGCCCCCGCCAGGAATGGAAAGGAGGAAAGCTAAATATTTGAAACTGGGCGAACAAATGTCAGGGTGTTTTTAAATAAAATCCTTTTACAGTTATCACAGCGAGCAGACCTGATATCCCTGTCTAATTCAATTTCAATTTGCGCCCCATGGGAGATAGCGAAGAAAAGGTTGCAATGCTGTCTTTGGGTTGATATGTTCTTTTCTCCTTCAGGAAGCAGGCACGAGAGAGGAAAGGGAGGAGGGCGAGGGAAGAGAGGAGGAGGATTCAAATACCAACAGAATACGATTCTTTTTTTTCCAGCTGGATCCTTCCAGAAGGCAGATGTGATGCAGGGAATGCCCAAATGCTGATTTGCTGCAAATTCACCTGGCAAACGTCGCTGAGGAAGAAACTGCAGAAAGGCTGTTTTCCAGCAAATAAATATTCCTGATGGGGGACCCGAATTACTGCACGTTGATGCCAAGAGCAACACAGACTCCCAAGGCACCCCAAAATAACTGCGAATCAGCCAGCCGCACCAATTACCCCAACCTCTATCGATGTCCTGTCAAGTGCCAGCAATCCTGTCACATAACCTCTTTTGTTTATGTAAGAAGGTGCTCCTTCATTCCAACAAGCTGCGCCCTTTAACAGAAACCGAGCAGGACACAGATATCAATAAGATGATGGAGAGACTGCCAGAGCCCATCGGCGGGACGAGCCTTCCAGCCAACAGCTGGACTGCACAGGCCAGAGGCACACGTCTGCTTTTGCTGGCTGCGGCTGTGCCAGCTGAGATGGCTGCTGGCCCAATGCCTGCTCTGCAAAACCTCCGTGGTTGGAACAGAGCAATCAATCCCAGCACAGGATGGAGGAGCAGGCCCTCTGGCACGCCTGGGAAGCCCTCTGCTTGCAGCCTGGTTCAGGGCACCCAAGCCTTTGTTTCCTTCAACTCATTCACAAGGAGAGTGCAGCGAGACACTTGGAAGCAATCTTTCCGTGTTTTACATGGACTACACAAGGCTCCGGTTTCAACTCACAGTCAAGATGATGTTGAAGCTACAGACTCTAAGATATCAAAAAGAAGCCAAAAGCATACTAGCAAACACATCTCTTCACTTGCTATGTCCAAAGGAGCCATCATGAAGCAGGAACTACAGGCACTCTGCATGCTTGCACAGAGCGAGCCGTATTTCACAGAAGCAGTGCCAAACCTCTCACCTGCTGTTAGTGCTCCTGTGGGTATCACTGCTGGAGCCTCCATGGCAAGAATGCAAGCAGAAAAGACACGTAAGTAGCTGTCACATACTTATTGGTAGCAGCATTGTATTGGAGTTCAGCTCAAAGCAAAGCAACACATCCCGAGCACACTGTTCAGAACAGGCTTCTCAGGGCGCCCAAGTGAAGTTGTAACACCTGCAAGCACAGGCATCTGGCTGACAGCCCCAGCCTGGAGCCCAGCTTAAGGAGAATTTGGATTTAAGCACGTGCTTAAGTGCCAAGGATGATATCAACCGTGGTGCAGGAGGGGGTTTTGGGCACACACCTGCCAACACACCTGAAGCACAGCCTTCAGCTTGCAGAGCACCGCAGTACAACGTCAGCTGGTCCACCCGCGTGTGCAGGCAGCCACATTAACCCTGCACTGAAATGTCTGCTCACAGAAATTTGCACAGCTTCAGCTGTAACCTCAGGAAGGAAGCCATGCATCACACCAGGCTACACAGACTGCTTCTGACCACAGAAAGCTCCCCTGCATACACAGTGCCACCGCTGGGAGCGTGGTACCAGCACGTTACGCTCAGAGAATGAACAGACCTCCAGATTTCTCTGCTTGTGTTCCTAATTATCATTGGAGTTACTACAATGGAAAGAATTTTTAAATTCAGTATTTACTTGTTCCCATTTATAATGCATGTTTACTTTTAGCACGTTATTCAGCTTGGACATGGAAAACAAAACAGTCAGCTTCGGTCTCATGTTCTCCTATGCTAGCCCCAGGCTGTTGTACTTGGCTTGGAAAGACTTTATGGAAATGTTTAAATTTAAACAAAAAGGCTGCTTTCATTTCAAATTAAAAAAATAATAATAAAACATCCCAAGTAGGTTTTGTGAATTCCTTAAAAATGATGAAACCAAACTACCCTTCTGCCCTCAGCTGCGGATCTGAGATATCTGATGGCACCCTCCTAAATGCAAACAGTAAATTATCATTATCCTGGCTCAATTAAGCCACTCAAAAAGGAATGCAACTTCAAAAAATGTTGTATTTATGAATAGTTTGCAGTTTTAAGCTCAGTGCCCAGTTAATGAAATATCACTTTCTTCAGGGATAAGAGATGCTCACAAAGGGGAGGGAATCTGTATTATTTACTAAGAACCCTGCCTGCAGAAGAATTGATTGCATCTTTCTTTAATGAGAACTGGGACAAGAGAGGCTGGCAGTGTCACCAGAGGATTATTTTGAAGTGATGGTATCTGAATTTGTGTACAGGCAGACAGGAGCAATATTCTGATATCTAGACCTCCCTGAGTGGAACTTTCATCGCACACCAAAGCGGGAGCTGCGAGGGTCAAATCACTCGGCACTTTGAAGTGCAGAGAGCATGCATGGGCAACACATTCATGCTCTAGACTGGGATGTCAAAGTGTGCATTTGTACTCCAATTTGCTCAAAGAGGTAACCCACTAAAATGACTGTGGTCCAAAAGAGTAAAGGGTTTCAACTATGAAGACTAAAAGGCCAGAATACTTGGTGCTCCCCAGAAGTGCTGATCACAGGCACAGCAGCTGCAAATTTGCAATAATGAACAGGAACAGCGCTGTAGAAGCAGCCAGCAGCTCCTTATTTAGACAGCTGTCAGGGCTGAAATGCTACAAGTCTGACCCCAAGCCCATTCCATTCACTTCAGTCCACACAAAACTGATCAGAGCTGGAAGAGATACTCACCCCTCCTGCAGGTATATGTCCAGGCCACCAAGCAATAGCTGGCTCTCTCATGCCACCTTCAAAGGTGGTTTGTTTGCCACAGAGAAAAGGACCATTGCTTCCTCCTAGAGAAAGAAACAAAGTCACAAACCCCCCAAAGTGCCAATATCATACAGCAGAGGGACACGGTCAACCAAATTGAAATTTGGAGGCTACTTTTAAACAAATTTCCATTTCTGCACGAATCCTTCTTTCAAATAATACGTCCAGAGTTGATTTTTGTTGTTGTCGTTGTTGTTTTAAATCCCTTTATGATAAACTTTAGGAGCATCATTTCAGTTCAGAGAGAACCAGACAGCTAAACACTACTTGCAAGCTACTGAACAAAGAACAAAAAGCACAGAAAAGACTTTGAGGCATTTTCCTTCCCTTTAGGGATGTTCGCTGTTGTTTGCAACTTAAAGAAATCTCACACCTTCACAAGAGTGCTCTCCTCACAACCTGTTACACTACCAGGGCAGTATTAGATGCAGATGTGAGAACAAAAGAAGTAATCATACATTCCCTGAATGTTCTCTCTGGCAGATAGCAAATGATTTGCAGGAATGCCTGGGTTTTTAACCCAGCCTTGCAGCAGAGCTTACTGAAGAACAAACAGGCTGATTCCAGGTCACACAAAGTCAAACCCAGCGGCTCGGCTGACATCAGAGCTCAGGATACTCCCTGCTCTGTGGTCTAATAACCACCAGACAGTTTGCCTCCAAATAGAAGAGAATGGGTTATAAAATCAATTTGCAATGACTCCGGGAGAAGCAATCATTTAAACAAAGGCAAACAAAAATAGTTTTTCCTCCTGCTATTTTTGAAGAGAGTTAAAGAAGAAGGGGCTCCTGAACTCTGTAATTACGCAGATGCTCCAATCAACATCTGGCAGATGGAGAACAAAACTGTATTGTGCTTGGGCCTAAATACATTAAAAAATACTCAACCTCTGCCAGTGCCAAGTGGAGATGCAAACAGGTGACCAGCTATGCTGGGTTCAGCAAAAATTCCACCTAGCCAAGGATACCTCCTCCAATGGCCCCCAGCAGGAAGAAACGTCAGCAGAATTCACTCTAAATGTGAGCGCCGTGAACTCTGAGGCTACACCTAATTGCAAAGAGGATAAGGGAAACTGCCAGGTACAGATTTCTCCATGTCTGGGGGGGAGGAGAGATAAGCCTTGAGTTCACAACCCCAGGCCAGCTTTGTTAATTTGAGGCTCACCTTGTTTAGGAGCTGAAATGAGAGCAGCCCCATTATCGGAGGTGAAAAACACGAAAGTGTTCTCACTGATACCCAGCTTCTGAAGATGTTTTAGGATTTTTCCAACGCTGTCATCAATTTCCCGCACAGCATCCCCATATCTGAAGCAAAAGTAGATGCAAAACATGAAAGGCAGCAGCAGAAGACTCACACAGCACAGTATACTGGGAAAAGCCACAGTGCTTTTAGCGAACGCAGTTTAAACCTGTGCTGGGAAAAGGAACACTTCCCTCATGCAGCAGGTACTGTAATAAGAGTTGCATCAGTGTCACTGCAAAGCCTGTGTCTCACACCTGCCCAGAGCAGCTCCTCTTGGACATTAAGAGTCAGAATCTGCTCAGCTCTGAGCCACTCCTGGACAGAGGCTAGAACTGATAAACACTTAGCTATCAAGGTTCTCAGACACAGGCAATATCCCTTTGCCATAGTCCTAAAGCTAATAACTCCATTTTGCTTATGGACATTGGTTTGAAATTGCACCCTGAGAAGCAAGGCTCATCGTGGCTGCAGAGCTACTCTTGCTTCCTGTAAACTGTGTTTACAGCATGCTTTTTTCTACTTGCTGTTCTGATTAATAAGCCTTTAAAACAGACACTATTTATACAAAAGCTTTCCAGAAATCATAACGCCACATACAGCACTTCATTACCCACACAGCTGGCAAAGGAGCTTGAGCTTCCCACTCCCGTTTTAGTTGTGTGATCTTCATTCACTAATACAGCAAAAATGTTAAAGAACAACCCAAGCAAAGTCTTCACTAACACAAGCTCATGTACTTCAGCACATATACTTTTGAGTAACTATCTGTGTATTTGGATATAAGTACACAGAGGGTGGTGAGGCACTGGCACAGGTTGCCCAAGGAGGCTGTGGATGCCCCAGCCCTGCAGGCATTCAAGGCCAGGCTGGATGTGGCTCTGGGCAGCCTGGGCTGCTGGTTGGTGACCCTGCACACAGCAGGGGGTTGGAACCACATGAGCACTGTGGTCCTTTTCAAGCCAGGCCATGCTATGACTATGATACTATGATATAATAAATATCACTGAGGCTTAACATTTTCCCAGCATGAGGTATTAATTTAAAAAAAATGAAAGGAAAAAAAAAAAAAAAAAGAACACACAAAAATAAGACTCACCTTCCTCTCTGACTGGTGCCCAGGAAATGTTTGGAAGCATAAACAGGAGCATGAGTAGCATCGATTGCCCAGTATAAAAAGAACGGCTGCTGGCTGGCCTGCTGCTTGCTAATGAAATCGAGAGCTTCCTGTAAGCAACAATAAAAATGAATGTAACAGAATCACCCTCTGTCATCCAGGTCTCTTCAAAAAAAAAAACAAGACAAAAACCACAACCATAAAGTCACTGTGGGTTAGAAACCAGCACTAAAATAAACTCTACCTGCAGGTAAATCTGAGTCAAGTTGGCTTCCCCCGTCTTCAGATCAATTTTGAAATCTTCATAGTATCTATAAAGAATCAGAGAGAACTAAAGGAATAAATCCAAAGGAATACACAGCCCAAGAAAGCTTCCCATGCCATTAGTTACACAGCAGGTGACTGCAGGTAGAACCCTCATTTAGGTCACCCACCAACTCTGTTCAGATATTAAAAGCAGTGTCATCATGTTTCTAATTACGGTAGACAGCAGTGAAATGACCAGATTCTAACTAATGACAACTGCAAGATTTGGACAAACCTGAGCCACTGATTGCTCACTGTGAGCTATGAGAATGGGGTAGCACACATCAGGAGCTTATGGCACTGCTCCTTCAGTCGAGAGCTGCTGGATGCGAGTGATATTTTTAGCAGTACCCAAAAACATTCAGTGACACAGAATCACAACGTGGGCTGCTCCAAACATGTTGTCCTTGACTATCTGCAGACAGCAATTCAGCAAAGAAGGGCAGGTGGCAGTCCTCATGAGAATAGCAGCGAGTGAAAAGAGACGACACCGGGCACAAAAGCAAATAGTAAAAACGGTGCAGACTGCACACTTGCACAAACAGAGAAGAGGTTACTACAAAGCAAGGCGAGGAGGAAGAAAGCAGCCTTTCAGTACTGAGTGGAAGCAGTTTCCAAGAGAAGCAATGGAATGAAATCATCACAGGAAGCCTTCGGGTGCAACAGGATGAGCAAACATCTCTGGGAGGTGCTGCGGAGCAGCCGTGATCCACAGTTGGTCTGCATGCAACCTGCAGGCTGGCCTCGATACTCGGGCTGTTATTAATCTTCACCATCAAGCACCTAACTTCATGTTTAATGAGCTTGAGTTTGAAATTTAGACAGTCAGGTAGAGCTGAGGGGGACAGGACTCCTGCAAAAGATAGTTCAGGTGTTTAGAGTGGACTAAATGTTCTCTACCATGCCAAGTCTAGCACTGGTGCTGCAGAAGTAGGTCTTTGAGATGCGAACTTCACAGAGCTCCTGACAGTTAATCTATACCTTGCTTCTGTCTGCCCTGTGCACCTCCCCACAAGGCTTTCCCTCTCTCTGTCTTAACTCCAATGGAAATCGCTATCCACAGCTTGGATATTGGCCAACCTCAGATTTGCTCACGGCTGTTAAGCCAGCAGCTATTTAAATTAAAGACCTGAGCACAGTTTCCCATTCAGCAAGATGGACAGGACAGAGCTTCCCACATCTGTTTTCTTCTGTAAGTAACTGCTGCAGACAGTCGCTGCAGAGCACGGTAGATGAAGCCAGCCTTGGGCTGGGCTCTGATCTGCTACTCACGTGTTTCACCAACTTTCACTAATATCTTTTCTGCATCAGCAGGCTGCTGAGCTGCAGAGCAAACAGGCCTTCAGCAGTAAGCATCTCAGAACACAGCTGAAGCAGGACATTCCTCCATGCAGGGTGAAGTACCTGCACGTTACTGGCCATGCAGCCAGACCTGCAACTCTGCCTGATGCTGAAGCAGCTTCTGGTTCTGCCAACCCTTTTGCACTGGTACCGGTTTGCTGTGCTAGCTCTTGTCTTCCAACATAGAAACATCAGCAGGGAGAGCAAGGAAAAGAACATTCCCAGCAACTAGGTAATGTTTTTGAAAGCAACTGGCAGGCAAGTAGCTGAATTACCTGCCAATCATTTCCCAGTCCCTGTACACAGGGATATTTGGGAGTGCTCTGTTATCATAAGGTCCAAAATGGCAGTTTGGGGATCCAAACCATTCATCAAAACCATGTTTCAAGGGGTGGAACTGGGGCCTGTGACCCAGATGCCTAGGAACAAAAGAAACAGATGAGTTAAAATTCTACTGCAGTGGAGCAAACTGTAATCTCACCAGAATGGTATGCAAGCAAACAGTCTTTGCCTAAGAAGAAAAACTTCAAGCATTTTAATCAAAGAAACAACTGCAGAGCACTGTCTTGATCTTCCTTGTCACGAATGGATCCATGCAGTTATCCCAGTGCTCACACATATCCCATTTCAGCCTACTGCCCACCCTGCTTTCCACCACTGCCTTCCATTGGTGCCTTCTCTCACGCTGCCCTGACCATCTGCACTGCTGAGCTGCAGTGCCCAAAGCCACCGCAGAGATGCACATGATGTTTTGCTTAAGGATCCTGATCTCAAACAAGTCACTTTTATACCACTGAGCTATTAAAAAACACAACAAAGCTCATGAAATGTACTGTGACATTCACATTCCTTTTATGGAGTCTTTATTTTGCCAAAATGGTACAGAGAGACCTGAATGTAAATGAGAGCAAGCTCTTGACGTGCACAAGTGAACATAAAACCTATTTAGCTACCACTGATGACAGCTGCATTCTACCACTCTGCTCAAAAATTCTCCATCCCTAAATTCAAGCTAAAGCTCCTTTCTAATCTCCTGCTTCTTGACTGCAAATTCTCCATCTCAAAGATAAAGAATGCCCATCCTCTCCCAATCTCTGAAGGAGATCTTCGTACCTAAATGTTTATTTAATCATTCCAGCTTCTACTCACAAGTCTGCATCTGCAACCTGTCCGTTTGTGTCATCCCTCTCTGCACGTTTCCTGAACATAAGGGACATAAAATGCACTACCTGGAATAAAGTGATCCACAGTGTCATTTTGAGCTATTCCAAAATGAGTTGCAGCATAAAATAATCATCACACCAGCTATGAGAGTATCTCAGAGATGTAACTAAAACTGCAAGCCTCCAACACAAGACTCTCCCCTTTCCTCTTCTACGTGTAAGTGCTACAAAGCTGCTCCTGGGGAATAACAGGTGACACGAGAAAACATTTTGCTCTGAGACCAAAGAGGACTTGAAAAGGAAAAGAAGAGACATGAAGGAGGCACAAAATAATCACTGAGATGCAGAAGGTGGACTGTTCTCTCCCTTTCACATCACACACACACACACAAAAAAGGAGGATATTTAACGAAATGCAACAAATTCTGAAGTGTTCATGGGAGATACTTGACTTGCAAACACCCAATTAAACCGTGGAACTCGCCGTTACCCTGAGAAGTTTTAAAAGGGATGTTTAAAGGATATAAAATCTGCTGGAAAGCTTCAAAACCTCTAAAAGCCCTGAAATCCTACAGGGACTATAATGAAAGTCCAATTGAACTATTGCATTACACCTTTTATTTTCCCCTCCAAACACCCTTCTACAAAGCAGGTGATGCTCACAAATGCCAGAGTGCTGCTGCACAGTGCCATTCCCAATCCTCTGTGGTACAACAGCTCCTGGATGTGTAATGATGGTGCACTGCACGTTGGTATTTAGTCTGCTTCGTGCTAACAGCTGCAGGTCCTTCCAGATCTGCTGTTTTCCAAATAACTGCCTGGAACCAATCTGTATCTGGGTTGTTTATTTCTTTTCCCTGGGTGTATGAATTTGCATTTATTAGCACTGAACTGCATCGCATTGCATTCAGCCCACTGAGCCGATTCTTCACGGCCACTCTGCCGTTCGGATCCGTGATGATAAATAATTCACTGTCTTTGGTTAGTTTGCTTTCTCTCCAATTTCAGCAGTACCACTGAATCCAACTGCAAACCAGTCTTGCTCTCCTCTAACTTGTTAGCAAAACTGGTAAGGAAAATGTATCCCACCACTGTTCTAAACAGCATCCCCCCCCAGCACTAATCTTGTCTGAAGTCTCTTCATTAACAATTACTCTGTTAACCAAGCAGTACTTGGCTGGGGTCTGTGTGGTTCTGAAGCTGCTATTTATACATTTATTTATTACAGCAGTGTTCCAAATTGTGATCAGAGATCTGCAGGCCCTGTGGGATTCCATCAGAGCCCACAAGCACGCTCGAAACTCGAATGTTAACAAACACACCAGTTTCAACTCTTACACCATTAATTCCACAGCCCGTGTTTGAACACAACACCTCTCAGGCTTTTCCTTCCCGGTTCTTCACAGACATTACGAAACACCTGCTAAGATTCTGCTGTACTCCCCTGAAAGTCAACAAAGCCAAAGCACAACGTGAAGAGAGGGCTGGATCAGATTTCTGGCTCTTTTAGAACACCTGGTAGTATCAGCTGCCCTGGCCAAGTCCCTCCCCACCACCCTCATCTCCTACGCTAAGTGAACAGGCTTCAGCGTGGCTCTGGTTTCAATCCACTCATCTTCAAGCATCTGCATCTCTATTTCTGTACCATACACTTCTCCCCTCCCCGGCCTCCCAAAAAAGCTTGCACAATTCAGTCTACTAAAAAAAAAAAGAGCAACTTAGAGCAGGGGACAAAGATAAAAAGCACGTAGGAGCCGAAGGCAAGCTCCAACAGAACATCTTGGCACTTCTTGATGTAATTAAGTCGTGTGGTACACGGATGAGAGCACAGAGAGCTGCAGGGTTTATATATGTGTACAGATGTATGTATGTACTTGTAATGCTAACACTCAATTCGGAAATTGATCACAGCAGGACAGAGGATCCACCACAGATTTGGAAAGGCAGCCTGTTTTGAAGCTCAGATGTCTTTCTCCTCCGATTCAGGTTGTCCTGCTGCTCCTTCACGACACAAACACACACCTAGAAGTCTCAAAGGAAGAGATCTTAAGAAGTTTACCATTTGCCAATGATCTTGTTGGTGTAGCCAGCTTTCTTCAGCAGCTCTGGAAGCAGTATTTCAGAATCTTGAATTCCTCCCACTATATCCTGCGGTGTGTATGCTGTGCAAAACAAACACAAACCTTACTGACTCTTACAATTATGACAGCAAACAGCTCACAGCCACCCATCATTAGAAGTATTATTACTGGATCAGAAAGAGCAGTTAGTTTGAACTTCCAGCACTATCACTCTTTGGAAGTCTTCCCAGAGCAAGAGATGAAGGGGGCAAGTTGATTTAGCAAATAATCTCTCAAGTAAAGAGAGAACTCCTCTCCAATAAAAAAAATAAGGGGGGCTGTCATTGCAGAAAGAAGCTGAAAGAGAAAGGAAAGGGGCAGAAGGGAGCGAGGATCAAACAGAAAACAGATGCTTCAGGTGTCCAGCAGAGTTGCCTTTACTTCTGCAAACCTGCTGTACGTCACCTAAAATGAAGGGGTTTCCTTTCCTAAATCAAAGGATAGATTGGCTCTGACCACAGGAGCTGAAGGAAACAGCATTTCCCTCTGTGGCCCTTGAGGATACAAGGTGTGACTCTGGTGCATGCTGGCTGATACTGCATGAATTGACACGTAGCTGCTGCCTGTTGGCCTCACACAGCATCTGTGACTCTGGAACCAAAATCAACCCAGAGATATCATGCATGGCTACTCTTTGAAGCAGCACAGGCACAACAGGGCTACAAGATGGCCCTTCCTGAAGGAGTTAGAAAAGCCACACCGAATGCAAGGCGAGCACCTGTGCTTGGCTCTGGGTGTTAACACACAGCCCCACGTGCCTCTGTTTAACCAGGCACCAATTCCACTGCCCAGAGGAAACACTTCTCAGCCAGCAGAAACAAGCAGAACAGCCAGCCTTGCTTGTGCCTCCTCAAAGGAGAGTGCTTTCTGCTTGATGAGGAGGAAATAATCTCACACTTATTAACCTGGTAATCTATTTGTGTTACCATGGAAGGCCCTTAAGAGAAGATAACCATGGCAAGCCTTTGTGCAAAGCGAAACTTCCTGCAAAGCAGAGAAAGAAATCAGAAAAGGAAGCAGGAATGAAGGCCGTACCATTTCTGGCGTGCGCATTCGTTGTGTAAAAACCATTCCTGAGCGGGAGGCGACCCGTCAGCAGCGCTGCCCGTGCTGCAGAAACAAACACAAGTCATTTCATGGCAGGTGCACTGTGTACTCACACCCAGCATTACCACGTTCAGGCTGAGGACAGCATGATGACCAAAGCACGCTGGTGTTCAGGCACAGCCAGTTGCTGGGGTCAGCCACATTTGGAGCAGCCCCCTCCTCACTGGGCCATGCAGATAGCCACGTTTCTATACAACACCATTAGAGCTACTCCAGGTCAAGCTTGATTAAAACGTGGCCCCTCTATTAAATTAGTTTACCCACTGCTGAAAAGCTATTAATTCCAACAGTAAGCACAGCAGCCCTCCTATCTCAGCAATTACAGAAGGAATACCTGGCATTGGTATTTAAGAGGAAATCCTACCACAAACTCAGCTTAAGGCTAAGCCTGGACAAAAGTCATAAGCAGTGAACTAAAAGAAACTGCCCAGCTTTGGCAATAAAAGCCAGGTCCTGACTCAGGGAACATTTAAATAGATGTTTAAACACGTGCTGAAGTACCACTGGACTAAGTGAGACTTTGCTGTATTTTAAGTGCCTCTTCTGAGAAAGGACAGTCATGAGCACACTGACAAATGATTTCCTAAAGGAGAATCCTAACAGAGAGGCCCTGTTCCTCATTTCTGTTTCAGTTCTTGTCTGCTAGTAAAGCTGGGGGGGAATTGCATAGAAAACAAACAAGAAGGATTATAAATAAATAACCTTTCTCACTCAAACTCCAATGTTTCTCTCCTGTCTCTTCCCCAGTAAGTGTGCTGGACATCAGGGTCAACAAGGGGATGCAGGACACAGCATGCTGCCATTCCTTGCACAAAAGTCTCACCCAACCCAGTGTAATCAGACAAACTGCACACTTCTTTTGTTCAGCAGCAATTTAGATACTGCTTCGCCTGCTTGCCCCAAAATAAGAACAAAAATGAGCCTAGAATGCTAAACCAGAATACCTTATGAAGTCCTTTAGCTGAACTGATCTGAACACTAAAATACAGCTTTGAAAGAACTTAAGACTGAAGGGTTTGCAATCAAAACATAAATAAAAAGGAAGCAACAGATAAGATCAAAGCACCAAATCCAAACTCTGCCCTGAGGGTAATCACTGGTTTGGTTGCTAGCCCATGTCAGATGCTGGCACACATCCCAATCTCAGAAGGTGGCGTTCTTATGTGCTAGTTTAAAGCTCAGGTTTACTTACATGGGGAACAGAGGGGGCTGGCAGCATAAAAATCCAGGAAAAGCATCCCTTCTGAAGCCATCTGGTCTAGGTTAGGAGTTTCCTTAGAAGGCTCTCCAAAAGCCCCCAAATCACCCCAACCCATCTGCAAGAAGAACACACCGCAAGACGTGAAAGTACTTCTACCCTTCCACAAATGACAACGCTGCTGGGCTCACATAAAACTTTTGTTTTTATCCCTTCCTTCCTAAACCTTTATAGAGCTCATCTCCCTGCTCAGGGAGCACTTCACAGCCGTGATAAAACTGATCCTCGCCAGCCCTGCGAAGCTGGGAACTATCACAGCTTCCACTGAAAATGAGAAACTGAGGCACACACGGGGTGAAACGACTTGCTTGTGATCAAGTGGACATGAAAACACTTGTAGCAGAAGGAGGTCAGGAGCCCTCATGTCTTCACTCTCACTCCAGAGCCTGGAGACTGGCAAGCACACACATAGCAGGGAGGACATCACACAGCATGCACTCAGTGCTGGTACACAGCTGCAAGCCAAGCTGTCCAGCCCTCGGCTGAGCATCTTTGACCCCTGCATCCTCTCAGTCTGCTCCATCCATGCACACACAACTATTAAGGCAAAGAAAAGGTCTGCATTCAAAAGCAGAATCCAGTGCTGCAGGAAAATGTTTGTTTTAAAAGCAAGCTCTGAAGGGAAACCTGCCAGAGGCATCATATGTCAGCCTGCTTATTTGCAATGGGGGTTTGGGTCTGTGCCTTCCTCCCTGCACGGTGGGGCTGCAAAGTCCCCATCCAGGAGAGCTGTAAAATTACTGTCATGCTGTCTGCGTTCACTGCTGAAAACTATTACTGGTAATAACACAAATAAAAGTAAGTGACTTAAACCAGAAGGTTCTGGAAGGGAACAACTTAATGAGCAATTAGGCGCCGTAGTTGATAGAGATTATATCGTGCTTTAAAAAAGGCAATAGCTTTCTCTAATACAGATGTGTATCAAGTGAGCAACTAATACAGAGGGCGTAATGCATCTCCATCCTTAGAAAGCCATCTGTCTGGTCCCACCTGAGAGTCTGCCATTCACACTGCAGCAGTGTGGTTTGGAAAAGGGAAGCGTTGAAAAGCTGCAGAGCAGGTTGCTGAACTCTCAGCAAAGTGCAATTAAACGGCCCCACCAAACACCAGGGTGTGGGACTGAAATGGACGCAGCAGATCAGCCCCCAGTCCTCAGTCCAACACTGTCTCTACCATCACGAAAGAAAGAAGAAAAGAATGCTGAGTTGCTCTGACTCACACACAGGGACACAGAAGTAGCCAAAGGATCAAAGGAAAAAATCAACAGTGGAGATGCACTTGTAATGAACAGCAGATAAATAAATCAACAGTTGGCAGAAACTCCAGTCAGGATCTGTGCCTCGCTGCGTCTTCTGCTGTACCAACACTTCCAGAACGGGATCACTGCTGTCCCACACAGCTTCCATTTGAAAATTACAAATCCCTGCTTGGGGGGAAATACTCCTGAATGGAAAATTAAGATAGACTGCCAGTGGCTAAACTGGCCATTAAAAAAGTAATCATTTCATACAAGAGCACGGAAACGCTAGGAGAACAACGGCAAGACAGGCAGGTTGAAGAGGGAGAAGGAAGCCCAGCAGGCTTTGAGTCACATCATACCCACCCTCAGCAGCTTTCTGAGGAGCCTAGCACAGCACACAATGCACTTCTATCCAAGCACATCTGAAGGATGACAGGAAAGGAAGAGGAGAAGCAAAGCAGGACGATGGCAGCAACTCAAGCCTGCGCTGAAAACAAATGCACTTCTGTATCTGTGATTTACTGAGCCCAGGGTCATATCTGCTGTTTAACGACTTGAGTTTTCTTTCTATTCAGCTCTTCAGGAGGAACATTTGAGTTTCTAAAACATTTCCTGCAAGGTATCAGAGTCTGCCTATGTTTGAGGATGCACCTTACTCGGTGCTGCTGGCCTCTGCATCCATCTCTGGTAGTGGAAGGTACACACAGTTATTTGTGTAGGTTAGAAAGCCAAGCCTTCACTTAGCAATAATTCCATCAGTGCTGGGAGAAACCAAAAACATCCCACCTTCCAACACTTCCCAGTTAATGAATGTGCTCTTCTGCCAAGGATAGTGGAGTTAATCACTCAATCATTAGGAACAAGCTGATAAGGTGACCAGCTTCTAGATAAGGTGGCATGTGTGTAAGCACCACTTCCAAAATACCTATACTCAGGCTTGACATTATAGACCTGAGAAGTCTCATTTGTTTTCAGCAGGAAATCCACAAATAAGGAACAAAGAGAAAAACCTTCAAATTGTTTCCACTTTTACAGAAAATCTCAAAAGGACTGGAATCATAGAATCACAGAACCATAGAATGGCCTGGGTTGGAAAGGACTACAGTAACCATTTAGTGTCAACCCTCTGCTGTGTGCACATCCAGCCTGGCCTTGAATGCCTGCAGGGCTGGGGCATCCACAGCCTCCTTGGGCAACACCTGTGCCAGTGCCTCACCACCCTCTGAGTGAAAAACTTCCTCCTAATATCTAACCTAAACCTCCCCTGTCTCAGTTTAAAACCATTCCCTTGTCCTACCAAGGGTTATTTTCCTTGAGAAAGAAATCAACTCCCTGTGAGTTACTGTGAGAGCTCTCACAGTAAGTAGTCACAAACTTCACTCAAACTTTTCCAGACCATCACACCAACCCCCAAGCAGTGCCTGATTCACTGTGCCCAAGGCCTCTGACCACAAGTCATGACACAACCCCTACCCACGTGCTGTGCCACACGCGCTGCTCAAGCGACAGAGGGAATGAATGCAGCAAACTGCTGGACCTGGAGGTTCACCTGGGACCACATGCAGACCTGGATACAAAACGACCTCATTTTGCACGCACTGGGGAGAGACCTGCTCTAAAGTAGCAGTCAGACAGAACATCAGGAAGCAAATAGATCATAAGGTCACTGAAGTTGGAAAAGACTGCTAAGATCATCCAGCCCAACCCCAGCCCACCACCACGTCTGCTAAATGTGCGAGGTGCTCTCAAAACACAGATCCCATCCGTCCCATTCACAGCCCTTTACAAATGCTTGAAGAGAACATCCAGAACCAGCCAGCAGCAGGGTGAAGCCGCCAACCTGCTGAACCTGTTCAAAAACCCCAACCTTGTATCACAGGACACACACGAGCAAGCTGGGGCTCAGTCCACAGCCCTGCCGAACTCCTGCGCCTCCCAACCCAATTCCCCAGAGACCAGAGGGAATCTGAGGGCTCCTGAGGGCCCCACCCTCCACCAACCGAGACTCACAGCCTGCCCAGCAGGGCCCTGCTCACCCCGCAGCCTCTCCCTGCTGCTCCCTGTCCCCTCAGTGCCACCCCCAGCACCACAGCCGCTCTGCCCCACGCGCCGCCCAGCCCAGCAGGCCCACAGTAGGCCCCTGCTGGGTGACACCAGCCTCATGGGATGATGGGACATATGGAACGTCCGCCAGGCCCAGGTGCCCCCCCAGGCGCCCCAGCCCGCACTCACGTCGTCCATCAGCAGCAGCACCACGTTGGGCGGCGCGGCGCAGCCCAAGGCCCAGCACAGCCACAGCGGCACCAGCACCGCTCTCGCCATGGCAACCGCCGCCATGCGCGCCGGCAGCACCTCACGTGACCGCATCACGTGATCGCTTCCCTCTCTCTCTCTCCCCCTCCTCCCCCGGCACGTGATACAGGCGGAAAGGAGGCGGGGACAAGATGGCGGTGTGCATCGCCGTGATCGCCAGGTGGGGGGGGGGGGGCGGGGCCCGGGGGGGGGGCCGGGGGGGGGGGCGGAGGGGAACAAGGTGCGGGTAAAGGGGCGTGCGCAGGGCGGGGACTCGGGCTGGCGTTGTGGGTCAGGAGCAAGGGTGAGAGGGGCGGGCAGAGACACGGGGGAGGGGAGGGAAGGACCCTGGAGAGAGATGGGCCCAGATCCGCTGCTGGGACGGGGGCTTTCCTGCAGAGCCGTGGGGACAGACCCAAGTAAAAGGGAGATCTGATGTGGGAGTGCTGTGGGTGCTGTCTGTGCAAGTGTGCAGCTGCGTATGGAGACAGGTCTGTTCTGCAGGTGCTGTGGGAGGTAAAAGGGGCGGGCTGGCTTTGGGTGCAAGACAGGATTAGTGTGAAAGCACTCCAGTAGTGTTAGCCATTGATTACAGGAGCAGAATCTGTCCACATTGGCATGATTTGTCACTGTCCACAGAACTACCCCCTCTACATCCGGAGTGTTCCGACAGAAAATGAGCTCAAGTTCCACTACACTGTGCACACTTCCCTGGACGTCGTGGATGAGAAGATCTCTGCCATGGGCAAGGCTATGGTAGATCAGAGGGAGCTCTATTTAGGGCTCCTCTACCCAACTGAAGACTACAAAGTGTATCTTTGTAATGTCTCAGAGGTGTGGTCACCCTGCAATCACATCTTCGCAGGTGTTGGTGTTTGACATCCACTACAATTGTATCCAAGTGTATTTAATAACCTTCCTTGCAAGGGGCTCTGTATGGGAAACCCCTCTTTCCACTTGGTGCCACATTAAAGTCATTAGCAGAAGAAGCACAGACTTGTTTGCAACCCAGTTTATCACACAAAGGATTGGGTTCAGTCCCTTGTTCAGTTCAGCAGCTGTCCCAATGTTTTTGAGTCACAGAGTTGACCTTCTGAGCATTGTCTGGCTTTTTGTCTGAATCCTGCAGATGGAGGTCATCTGCTCTAACAGACCTGATTTCTGGGTTTTCATAAACCGGTCATTGATTTTTGGAGTTCCAGATCACAATGATATTAGAGGATCTCCAGGTCTCTGACTGCAGCCTGCCAAATGACAATAGATGAGGTGGGTCATTGAAACAGCTCTTAAGAAGAAACCCAAAGCAGCTAATGGGAGACTGCTTCTGAAGTGCAAGGCATGCATTGCTGGCCAGAACAGGAGCGAGCTTGATCTGGAGTTACCAAAAGTGGCAGCATCAGGGAGAAGGGGGAGCAACCTGATGTCTCTTACCTCATCTAGTTCTAGTTACGTGCTGAGTGCAGTAAGAACACAGTATTTTCTCAGCTTTTTTGTTTGTGTGCGTTCCAGCCTTGTTTGAGTTGCTTTGCTGGCCTCCATAACACGTTCCTTAACAGCTGCACAGGTATGGCTACGTGACAAACTCGAAGGTGAAGTTTGTCATGGTGGTGGATTCTTCAAACACAGCACTTCGGGACAACGAGATCCGCAGTGTAAGTGCAGGAAGTCAGCACCATTTGCTACATCAGTGTTCCTTCTGCTTCTGCTGATTCGTAAAGTGCTGAGAAGCAAAAAGAGATTAATTAAACCACAATCCCTTTTCAGATGTTCCGAAAGCTGCATAATTCCTACACAGACATAATGTGCAACCCCTTTTATAACCCAGGAGACCGTATCCATTCCAGGTGAGTGGACTGAGCACCTTTGTCATCTTTCTGGGACTTGCATCTGCGATGGAGCAGGACCAGGCATGGAATCCCTGTGCTTGGCCAGTTCAGATCTACGTGCTGTAACCCCTTAGATGGAAAACAGCTGTGTTGTCTTTGGGTCATTACCACATAGCTGGAAACTCTCCATAGCCCCTTGAGAAGTTCAATTGAACTCTTTCTCCCCCACCTCAGCACTGGTGTTAGAAACTTTGACTCAGGAAAGAGGAGTCTTTGGGATAGAAGAAATTCCCTGCAGGTACGTAGAGAGGTTACACAGAACAAACAACTGCAGTTGTCCAGGGTTTCTCCTTGAATAAGGATCCTCACCACACACAACTCCTCTTGTGAGGGCTACTGCTCCCTATTTCTAAGCTGAAATTTCCCAGGAAATGTGAATAATGTGAACTGCTATTGCCTAGGCAAGAAAACTTGGCCAGGAGAAGACCTGTCCTTACTTCAGCTTAATTAAAGCCATTATTCACTCAAAAGAACATGCTGTAGCTAGAGTGAAACCATGCATTCAGCCTGAGGAAAGCCAGCTCATTAGCCAATAAGAAGCATTCCTAGCTACTGGTATTGTTTAGAGATGTGGTGTGCAGAACTAGCAGCTTCCTTTAATGCTGTGTTATTTCCTTCCCCAGGGCTTTTGATAACATGGTGAACTCCATGATGATGCAGGTGTGCTGAGGCTCTGCCCAGTCTGATCCAGGCATTGAGAACATTCCCTGTGTGCAGGAGTGTGCCTACAGCATGATGTATATATTGGTTTCATTGTGTAATATTTTCAGTCTATGTAAAATAAACCTGACACCTGCAAGCTCTGCATGTGCCTCTATTCCTGCAAACCTTACACAGCACAGAAGTCCCTGTTCTGCTTCTCTCCAGCCTTCAGATAGCATGCAAGAGCTCTTCCTTCAGGAAGGTCAGCAGCATCAGATGAGCTTTGTTCCCTGCAGAAAAGCACGCAGCTGTGCTCCTCTGCAGCTCAGATGCTTCTGTAGAAATCAGGCTTTGTGGAAAGACAGCAGTTCCCACTGTGCTTGTGATTAGAGCGAGCACAGCTGCACAAGAGACAGCTAAGAGATGATTATTATTAGGGTCAGCCCAGATTTCAGTCAGCTGAGAGGCACAGATAGTGACACTGCTCCTCACAAGTGCTGGTGCTTGAGAGCATTTCCTCTGATGCATAGGAGCACAGCAGCAGCAGCAGCAGCAGCCCCTTTGCTGTTTGCCAGCCCCCTTTGCTTCTGCATCAGGAATGTGAGAAGCAATGCTTGTTTCAAACATACTTGGTCTCCTTACCCTGTTTTTCCTTACTGGGAAAGCTCAGATCTCTGTGTACTTACTCCAGTAGGTCTTGGAAAGAGAAAACAGCACAGCCAGTTGAAGGCTCCAGGTCTCTGCAACCACAGCCAGTGCTGACATACTTGAGAACACTGGCAGACAGCGAACAGCTGGCCCCAAACAGCACCTTGAACCTGCTCGAGTCCTGCTCTCATCTTGCCTTCTGAGGCAGATGCAGAGGTGACTGGGATTTGACAGTATCTGCTATTAAAGCTTTGCAGCTCGCTGAAACAGGGTTGGTGCACACAGCAGTATTTGTGGTGCAGGTCAGGGAGCACAGGTAGTGCAGCTGGGATAAACCCATGCCAAGAGATTAAGACATCAGGATTGCACAGCTGCCTGCCTCATCCCAAACTAATCTATTAGCATCTCCTCCCCCTGCAGCTCCAAGCTGTCCTCATTAAAGAGTACCAAACCAAGAGCAGCTATTTCTATATAAAAGACTAGAAAAGCACCTGGCCAGTTAGAAATGCAAGGGGGAAAAAAAACCCAACACAGTTCCAAGAGACACAGGAAACCTGGAGAGAGCCAGGTCAGTGCAGAGCATCAGCACACAGCCAGCACGGTCTCACTGCAGATGAAGTTCACACAGCAGGATCATTTATTTTAAAAATAAGTGACATTTACATTACCTTCTCAGACAGAACTCAAATACATTTAATCAACAAGAAGCTGTCAAATAAGGAGATGAAAGCATCTGAGCCTCTCCCACCATCTAAACAAGGCACAGCTGTACACTGCTATGCTGAAAGTTTCCTATAAAAGTCTTCACTCCTCTCACTCACAGAGACAAGAGTTCTGCATTTCCTATCCCTCAGCACAAAGCAATCCAGACACTCCAAAGTAGTTTTTATTAAAAATTAAGCCTCTCTAATTGACAAACCTACTAAAGGAAAGCTCAGAGCCCTTGCAGAAGCCAGTTTTGTAGCCTGAGCCCAAGAGTCTCTCAGACAGGGAAACCAAGGCCAGCCTCAGCAGCACAGCCCACGCTGGACAAAGTGCAAAACCAACACAAGAGGTAAGGCCCCGAGCTTTAAAATATACATCTATATATCCTGAAGTCCTAAGGAAAACAAAACTCAGTGGGATTTTTAGTCTGGCAGTGCCCTGAGCAGTGAAAAGCTGCTTTAGGAGCCAGTCCATCTGGGCGAGAAGAATCCTAACCAAGGATCCTGAAAGATCAGCGTGAGAATCACATAATAAAACAGATTGCAGTGCAGATCTTCACAGTTGCGATGGTGGTCTCCCAGCCTGCTTTCTTTAACACAAAGTCTTCCCTTTAAAAACAAGCCCTAAGATAAGGAGATGGCTCCTGGGATGCCAACAGAGCAGATCCAGTCTTCCCCCTCGCGCCCAGCTCCAGCTGCACAGCACTCAGCTGCCACCAGTAATCCTCAGGGCAGCAGATGGCATTTTAAAATTAATCTTTTTTTTTTTTTTTTTGGCTCGGGTAGGCATTTTTTTGTTTATTTGTTTTTAAATCTCTCCAATCCCATCTCTTCGGTCCCACCGGCACCTCCAGGGCAGCGCAGTCTTCCTTTCTAATACGGGAAGTACCAAGGCAGCAGCCTGGCCCGACCCCTAGGCAAGAACAGAACCACGCTGGAGCTCGGGGGCATTGCTCAGCACCAGGCATCAGCAGCCTGAAAGCACAGCCACCCGCTCAGCCCCACCAGCCAAACACAGCACCTCTCACCTGTATGTCCTCCCCCGCAGCCTCAGGGGCTGCCCCCCATAGTACCCCCAGCGTGGGATCAGCCCTCCCCGGCCTTGGAAGCGGCCCCGGCGGCCGCCACGGTCGGTGCTGCTGATGCCAGGCATGTTGGTCCTCTTGGGCAGCACCTGGAAGGCAGTGGGGGCTCAGCACCAGCTCTGCGTTGTAGGGGCTGGGATGGATGGATGGATGCGGTCCGGGGCTTTGCCCAGCTCTGACCTTAATGACACGGCCCCTGAATATGCTCTCATCCAACTCCACCGCCGCCTTCACAGAGCTCTTCTGCTCAAACTCGATGTATGCATACCTTCAAAGAACAGGGAGCAAAGCACTGGGGATGCTGCCAGCGCCAGGGACAGCAGCATCCCCCCCCCAAGGCACAGCCAGCCCCCACAGGGGACAATAAATCCCTGCCTTTGCGAACACTCAAGCCATGCCTTGCCTTTTTTTTTTTTAAAGGAAGCAAAAGCTCTGTTCCTACAGTGTCACAGGATGCACCCAGCACTGACCCTTTGGGATGCCCTGAGAACTTGTCGCAGAGGATGGTCACACGGTTGATCCGGCCACAGCTGTTGAAGTGAGATTCCAGCTCCTCTGCCGTGCCCCCGTAGTCCACCTGCAGCCACAGCCCTCGTGTTCCATCGGGTTTGGGAGCAGCCAGCCTCTGGCAGGGCAGTGGCCAGGTCCCCTTGCTGGGGATCATGGCACACATCTGCCAGACGAGGAGCAGCAGGCTGGGCTCTGTTCCACAGCCTTCACTTACATTGCCCACATAGATGGACCGTTGGTCAGCCTCCACCTTCCCCTCGGTCGTCCTCTGGAACAGACCTGCAAAGATGGAAGCTGTGCTGTCACAGAGGAGCCCTGCAGAGGGTGAGAGGCTGGGCATCCCCAGCCCCACACTTCAGCCTCCTCCTCCACCTGTTGCCCCATCTCTCCCTGCATAAGAATAACACAAGGCAATTTCTTCACAGCACCTGAAGGCGCTCAACTCAATTACCTCATTGAAATTAATTAATCTACTGCATCTCAACTTGCAAAGGTGGGAGTTGGATAAAACACGTGACAGCAGCGTGCTGTGCCTGGCACCCTCCCCCTCCTCCATGTCAGGTGCCTGGTCCCAGCTGGTGTGGGGCTGCCCATAGGGGCACAGCAGTACGCCTCAGCCCCACTGACACCCCACGATCCTGGGGAGCACAGCAGAACCCAGGGACGGCCCATACCTGCCTCTGAGCCCATGAGGAGGCAGCTCTCAGCCTCCAGCTGCAGCTCCTTCAGCCTCTTATCCTCCTCCTCCATCTCCCGCACTCTGGCTTTGATGGCCTCCAGCTCCTGGAACTCAAACCACAGCTTGTGCAAGCAGCACGTGCTACAGACCCACTCCCCACCTTGTGCTGAAGCAACGGGCTCCCAGGCTAGGGACAGGGGACAACGGCCTCAAGTAAAGGGAGTTCAGCTCTCAGCTCCACTAGTGAGAAAAACATTTCCTTCCTTGTGCTTGCCCACAAAGCAGTGCTGCAGCAGAGGTGTCCCAGAAGCAGAAATGCCAGAGAGAACCAGAGATTGAAGCTAGTGGTGAGCAGGAGCCATTGACTGCAGCCCAGCCAAGCAGACATCTGAACAGGGAAAGGCAAACAGCAGGAGAGTGACTTTTCAATTTCCTGCTTCTCAGCTCAGGGATTTTAACAACAGGAGCCCAAAAATCACTCTTAATTTTCTGAAGCACTTAAAGAGAGATGTAGGAGGCTTCCTATTTCCTTATAGAAAAGGGGAAAACTGATCCTACATTCAGCCAGACACTCACAGGGTCCTGCACACCCAGCTCCTCCAAGCTGTCCTCCTCCGGTTGGCTGTGGTCTGAGCCATCATCCGCAGCCTTCTGCAGAGCTGCCACCTCCGGCACGTCCCAGGACGCCTCCCCTGCTGCTATGGATGCTGGGTCCTGCCACCAGATCCCAGAAGAGTCCAAGAAGAGAGGACTGGGCAAAACAGGGGTGAGAAGTAACTCAACAAAGCCATTTAACGTAGAAACAAAAGCAGGATGTTAACCAGGCACAGCTTGTAGGGTACTTTCAGCAGAAGGAAAAGCAACCACCTCCAAAGCTGTTTGCTCTCGAGTCTGCAGGTATGCTTGCAACAAAACCCCACCGCTGCAGCAATAAGCTCTACTGAGAGCTCTCCGGTTCACTAGCACTGCCCAGCTCAGAAAACTGCAGAAGGGAGCTTCCTTTGAGCCAAAATGCCAGGACCAAGCACCAGCCTCACGGGTGGCAGCGCAGCAGAGGACAAACAGAGAAAGCAGCAAGACACGCTGCCCCAACCCGACCAGAGCAAGCTCACAGCTTCCCAACTCGGGGACAAACCCTCAGCCCTGAGAGCGCAGGGCCTCTCAGCGCCCCGCACCAGCTGTATCCCACGTCCACCCCGCAGACCCACCTGGCCTTGCCCGCAAACATGCCGCCTGCTCCGCGCACAGCCGCCCGACGCCCAGCAAAGCAGCGCCGCACGCCGATCCGCCACCGCCACGTGCGCCTTTCCCGCCGGAGCGCCGCTTTCACACATCAGCAGCCAATCACAGCACGGCCCCGCCCTCTGCTGGCAGGGCGGAAGGCGGACCCGGCCCGGGCTCGGCCCTGGGGGACGCGAGTTCGAGACCCGGCGTCGGCCAATGCCTCGCGTCTGGGCGAGGTCCGCTCCGCCCCGCTGCTCTTCCGGCTGCCCAGAGGGAGGGCAGAGAGTATCGTCATGCAGAGAGTAGGGAACAGCAAGCGGTGTCCCCAGCTGTGATGCTCACGGGAATTCCCGACCCTCCCCCAGACTGGGGGCAGAGGGTGCAGGGCAGCCGGCACACACCCAGGCTGCGGAGACCTCGGGTTGATATTAAATCATCTTTTTATTACACAGATACAGAGATAAGAACAGACAGAACCTGAATCATAAAGTTTACATCTTTCACAGATCGAACATACAGTACACGAAGAGAAAGCGGGGAACAGCACGAGGTGGGGGGAGGGACAGCATGCCGAAGGAAAGTCCTACCAAGTCATCTCTCTGTGCTGGCCCCAAAACCACTACCAGAGCTCTGCCCTCAACCCCCCAGCCCTGGGGACCCCCGCTGTCCCCATCCCCATGGCTGGTGCAGAACTGCTGGGGCGGGGGGGACAGCAGCACGACACAACCCTCCCGGTGCTGTGCCTTTGGCTGGCGTCAGAGGGGTCCCCGAGGAGAGCTGCTGTGGATGATGTCCCATCCCCAAAGCCAGGTGAGGAGCAGGGGATGCTCTGAGGATAAGGGCTTAGGGGTGGTGGTGACACCGCTGGGGGCTGCCTGGGGAGGTTTGGGGTCCTGGAAGCATTGCTGGGAGGCAGCACTTTGGTTTCATATGGGTTTTTTGGGTGGGGGGTGCACGGTCCCGGTGCAGTGCCGGGGGCTGGGATCAGGCATTGTTGTGCCCACTCTTGCACCCCAAAGCACAGCTCTGCCATCCCGTGGGGTCAGGGACCTCGGGAGGGATGTCCCCATGCCATGAGCCTCACTACAGCCGCGACACCCAAAATGGGAGCAGGTGGCTGCACGGATGTGAGCTGGCACAGGGCACCCTGCCTCCCCAAGCAGCACCCAGGATGTCCCCAGGCCGTGCAAGTTGCACCGGGACCACATGGCACAGCCATCTGCCACCTCCTGGGTGCCACAAAGCCACCAAGGGACACAACCAAGGCATCGCATGGGGCATGCTTCCCTGTCCCCACGCACATCCCAGCACCGCTTTGGAGCAGAACCCTACAGAAGCGCCCCAGTTTGGAGCAGAACCCTACAGAAGCTGCTCCACCACCCCCGCGGCCGCCGTCCTCCCAGCATTGTTATATTTGGGAAATATCACACTTTAAAGCTGTCATTCTGGTTCGGACGTCCGCACCGCCCATCCCTTCCCCTCCCTCGTCTCCTCCCCTCCTTCCCCTCCCTCGGCTTTTGGTTTCGATGCAAGGTTCGTTAGGGTATTTTTATTGTTTAAAAAAAAATAACAAAAAATTTTTTTAAAAAAAAAACAACAACAAAACAAACAAACAAAAAAACCCACAGGAAAAAAAAATAATTAGAAAATGATAATTAAAAAAAAAAAAAAAAAAAAAAG